CGGGAGATGCAGCCTCACACAGGGCACTGTCCGAGCTCTGCGGGCAAGTGGGCCCTCCCATCCCACCGGGGCACATGCTCTGCCGGCTGGGTCTCAGGCATCACCACTGAACCCCGGTCCGGCCAGGGGAGGCGCCACACGGGGGAGGAGCGGGGAGGAGGCCCACACAGAGGAGGAGCGGGGAGGAGGCCCACACAGAGGAGGAGCGGGGAGGAGGCCCACACAGAGGAGGAGCGGGGAGGAGGCCCACACAGAGGAGGAGCGGGGAGGAGGCCCACACAGAGGAGGAGCGGGGAGGAGGCCCACACAGAGGAGGAGCGGAGAGAAGCCGGGAGGAGGCCCACACGGAGGAGGAGCACTCACATCCTCCCTGCAGATCAGCCCTTCTCTGCTACATACAGGGCCCGCTCCCACCCGTGTGTGACCCACTGAGCTCACACCAGGCCCCGCCCCTCTCACCCACGTGTGAGCCACTGAGCTCACACTGGAGTTCCAGCCTTCCTGATCCTTGTGTGGATACAGAGATAGAATAAATGCATGGCTAAATCAGAGATATGCTTATCTCACATCAACCAACAAAGGAGGAGGAGGAAGAGGAGGAGGAGGAAGAGGAGGAGGAGGAAGAGAAGGAGGAAGAGGAGGAAAAGGAGGAGGTGGAAAGGTGCAGAGGGGGGAGGAGGAGGAAGAGGAGGAGAAGGAGGAATAGGAGGAGGAGGAAGAGGCAAAAAAGGAGGAAGAGGAAGAGAAGGAGAAGAAAAAGGAGGAGGAGGAAAGGAGAAGAGGGAGGAGAAAGAGAAGGAAGAGGATGAAGAGGAAGAAAAGGAGGAGGAAGAAGAGGAGAAGAAAGAGGAAGAGAAAGGAGGAGAAGGAGGAAGAGGAGGAGGAGGAGGAAGAAGAGAAGGAAGAGAAGGAGGAAGAGAAGGAGGAGGAGGAGGAAGAAGAGAAGGAAGAGGAAGAAAAGGAGGAAGAAGAGGGAAGAAGAGGAGGAGAAAGAGGAGGAGGAAGAAGAAAAGGAGGAGCAGAAGAAAGAAGAGGAGAAGGATGAGGAAGAGGCAGAGCATGAGGAAGAGAAGGAGGAGGAGAAGGCACAGAGGGAGGAGGAGGAGGAGGAGGAGGAGGGGAAGAAGAGAAGGAGAAGGAGAAGGAGGAGGAGGAGGAGGAAGATGACGAGGGAGGAAGAGGAGGAAAAGGAAGAAGAGGATGAAGAGGAAGAAAAGGAGAAGGAAGAGAAGGAAGAAGAAGAGAAAGAGAAGAGGAGGAGGAGGAAGGAAAGGAGGAGGAAGAAAAGCACAGAGGGAGGAGGTAGAGGAGGAGGACGAGGAGGAAAAGGAGGAAGAGTAAGAGGAGGAGGAGGAAGAAGAGTAAGAGGAGGAGGAGGAGGAAGAGAAAGAGGAAGAGGAAGAGAAGGAAGAGAAGCAGGAGGAGGAAGAGAAGGAAGAGGAGGAGGAAAGGCCAAGAGGGAAGAGGAGGAGGAGGAGGAAGAGGAAAAGGAGGAAGAAGAGAAGGAAGAGGAGGAGGAAAGGTGAAGAGGGAAGAGGAGGAGGAGGAGAGGAGGATGAAGAGAATGGAGAGAAGTAAAAAGAGGATGAAGAGGAAGAGGAGGAGGAGGAGGAGGAAAGGCACAGAGGGGGAGGGGGTGGTGGAGGAAGAAGAGGAGGAGGAGGAGGAGGAGGAGGAAGAGGAGGAGGAGGAGGAGGAGGAGGAGGAAGCAGGCAGAAGTGGAGGCATGTAATCACGGGGTAGAGCACACAAGTCTTGATCCAGACACTAAGCAAGGGGCCGTGAGGTGGAGCCTCAGTACCAGCTCACGAGGGGCGCAGATGTAAGGTGTGGAGTTGGATCACAGGGGCGGGCGTGCTGAGCAGGTGTGGTGTGGAGACACCACTGCCAGGCAAGGCTGTGGCACTGAGCTGACAGCAGGAACCCCAGGAAGACAGCAGCACCTGGTCCAGGAAGGCCCCGCAGGGAGGAGCCACAATCGCCTTGTTAGACACAATGGCTGGAGGCCTTCCACGAGGGATGAGGACATTCCTCTACAGTGATCAGTGCATTATTATTATTCTACATGATCACTATAATCGATTAATTAGCGTGTTAATCTGCACAGGCCATCCGCCCCACGGGTCCTGAGCTGGCTACCAACTGAAAAGGAGCCCTGGCCAGACCTCCTGAGAACAGGAAGCCTGCTCAGGTGTCACATGTGAAGCCATTTCCTGGCTCAGCAGGAGCACCTGAGCCAGGTGGCTTGTAATCTCCCCTTGGACCGGGCAGGAGAGCAGGAGCAGGTGGTAAACTCAGAGTCTGGGTACATGTCTCCGCAAAACCATCCTCCAGAGATGAAGAAAACTGAATAGTACCTCTGCTGACAGCCCAAGTCTCCATGCACATTTAACTTCTATAAAATACCAGACAGCTCGACTATGAATTGAATCTACTTGATATACTTGTTCAATTTATCTATGAGACACCAGACTTTGCCATGTCTTTAATCCAACAGGTATGTTTCCTTCAGAAAGTAAAACATGAACATCCAAGTTATTTCAGATCATAGAGGGAGAAATTTTTGGAGTTCCACCAACAGTGGCTTTCAAGTCTCTGGAGAAAAAGAAATTAAGTCATTGTGCTAATCTAGTCCAAGTGTCTTTTTTTTTTTTTCCTAGATCAGAATCAGAGGGTTTGTTTTGCTGTGTTTCAGTGTTGTAACTTGTTTATTTAATGTATGTGTTTACACAGTTCCAGGAACTCCTCATGAGATACCTAGACCTAAACTGTACTAAACAAAGCATGTATTGCCTCATGGTTTACCTATCAATCACGTTTAACTGGAATGAAAAACAACTGTGTGGGCAATAACCCGACTCAATTATAAAGCAGCTGATCAACCTTAAACACACACGATAGCACCTTGACTTTTATTGAGCTGGTAAGCTTCTTTTCACAGAACAGTGCATTTAAATTCCAAAGCCAAGCTGGAGTCTAACAACTGTTACCTTTCACTGAAGGTCTTCTGAGGCAGATGTGCAACACTCATTATTTCCAATTCTCCCAGCGAGCCGGCAGGCCGATGCCATTGTTACTCCCTTCCGGACAGAGGCACAGAGCGCACTGGGCCTGGTGCCTGGCCTGGTGCTCAAGGTGGAATCCTGGGCCTACGCTCATCCTAAGGACACTGCCCATCCGGAGCGGTTAACCCTGGAGGGCGCCTTCCATCTCACACACACTCACGCTCACACACACACAGTCGTAGTGGAAAGTACACCTTCCTCACCCTTACCTCCACTGATCCTTTAACCGCTGGCCTCCAGGCTGCCCCCGACCGCCGAAGCGGAGGCTCGAACCTCCCCACTCCCAGACTCCTCTGCTTCTGACTCCCCTCCTCTCCCTCACCGCCCCACCAACCAGGCACGCTGGAAAGCACTGGAAACCTCCGGAGGTGTGTTCTACATCTTGGTATCTTCTTCCTCTTCATCTTCCTCCCCCGCCTCCTCCCTCCTCCCTCCCCCTCCTCTCCATTTATGTTTCAACAATCAACAGATACTCCCCAGCCCTCCGCTCAGCTTGCAGCCTGGCGGCCTTGGCGTGGGGAGGGGCGGCACTGACTCAGGGCCTGGCTGTGTCCTGGCCTCCATCACAAACGGCTTAAGGAGCAGAACTTCACTTCTCAAGGCTCCTGAGCTGGAGGTCGCAGGTCACACCTGGTGGCGGCCTCCTCCCGTCCTCCTTCCACTGGGCCTTCGGAGTGCGGAGTGCGCATCTCAGTCTGTCCGCACCGCCCCTGGCTCCTCCGGCCTCTGACCAGGTTCACATTCCTCCTGGAGCTCCCGTCCCCTCGCATCCCTGTCCCCGCGTCCCCGTCCCCGCGTCCCCATCCCCACACGTCCCCGTCCCCACGTCCCCGTCCCTGTCCCCGCTTGTCCCGTCCGCTGTCCGCGCGTCCCCGCCCCTGCTTGTCCCGTCCGCTGTCCGCGCGTCCCCGGCGGGCGCGGAGGGGCGTCGGCGCGCTGCCGGGTTTGAATTTCGTGGGTCTTGAACCCAGGGCCTAGCGCTGTCCCTGCGCTCGTCCGCCCGAGGCTGGCGCTCGACCGCTTGAGCCACACCGCCACTTCCGGTGTCCGGTGTCCGTGGCGCTGGGGACTCGAGCCCGGGCCTCGGGCATGCGAGGCAAGCGTTCTACCGCGAGCCACCTTCCCAGCCCCGGCTCGACGTGAAGCCGCGGCCGGCCGCCCAGTCCCGGCGACCTCGGGGGCCTCGGGCTCGGCCAGCGGCGCTTGGTGCGCGGGCGCGCGTGTGTGCGGGCGAGGGTGGGTGCGCGGGCGCGCGTGTGTGCGGGAGAGTGTGTAGGTGTGCGCGTGCGGGCGCGTGTGTGCGCGTGCGGGCGCGTGTGTGCGGGCGAGTGTGGGTGCGCGGGCGCGCGTGTGTGCGGGAGAGTGTATAGGTGTGCGCGTGCGGGCGCGTGTGTGCGCGGGCGCGCGTGTGTGCGGGCGCGTGCGGGTGCGCGAGTGTGCGCGTGCGCGCGCAGGCGCCAGGCCTCAGCAATGTGGCGCCGGCCACTCCTCCGCTTCTCTAAAGCGCCGCGGTCTGGGCGCAGCCTCGGGTCTGGGACCCGGCGCCTCCACCGCGGCCCGGTGGCCGGGCGCTCGGGGCCGCGGGCTCGGCTCCCCGGCCGACCCCATCACAGACGCGCGCGGACCGGGCCCAGGCGCGCGCCGGGTCGGCGCTCGGCCTCCGGAGGCTGGACGGGAAGGTGGGGCCCGCGGGTGGGCGGGGCCTGGGAAGCCTGGGGGGGGGGTGAGGAGAGCCCCGCCCAGGACCCGCCCCGGCCCCGGCTTGGCCCCGCCCAGGACCCCGCCCCGGCTCGGCCCCGCCCCGGACGTGCCCCTGACAGACCCCGCCTCCGGGACACGCCCTCGCAGGCTCCCCGCCTTCCCCCAGCTCCCGCCCCTCGGCGGCCTCCAAATCCCGGAAGACGGGTCCGCGGACGCGGCGGGCGGCTGCTCGGACGCGTGCGCAGTGCGCTCCCGCGCTGGCCGGGTTCCGCGGAGTGTCATGGCGGCGCCCAGGGCCGCAGCGGGCGGCTTCCTGAAAGGTGAGGGACCCCCAGCCTGCCCCGACCCCGGCGTGTGCCCCTCACCCCGCCCGTGCCCCTCACCCCGCCTGTCCCCCTCCACCCCGCCTGTCCCCCTCCACCCCGCCTGTCCCCTTAGTGTCCCCTCACCCCGCCTGTGCCCCTCACCCCGCCTGTCCCCTTAGTGCCCCTCACCCCGCCCGTGCCCCTCACCCCGCCCCTTAGTGTCCCCTCACCCCGCCCGCGCCCCTCACCCCGCCCGCGCCCCTCACCCCGCCTGTCCCCCTCCACCCCGCCTGTGCCCCTCACCCCGCCTGTCCTCCTCACCCCGCCCGTGCCCCTCACCCCGCCCGCGCCCCTCACCCCGCCCGCGCCCCTCACCCCGCCCGCGCCCCTCACCCCGCCTGTCCTCCTCACCCCGCCCGCGCCCCTCACCCCGCCCGCGCCCCTCACCCCGCCCGCGCCCCTCACCCCGCCCGCGCCCCTCACCCCGCCCGCGCCCCTCACCCCGCCCGCGCCCCTCACCCCGCCTGTCCTCCTCACCCCGCCCGCGCCCCTCACCCCGCCCGCGCCCCTCACCCCGCCCGCGCCCCTCACCCCGCCCGCGCCCCTCACCCCGCCCGCGCCCCTCACCCCGCCCGCGCCCCTCACCCCGCCCGCGCCCCTCACCCCGCCTGTCCCCCTCCACCCCGCCTGTGCCCCTCACCCCGCCTGTCCTCCTCACCCCGCCCGCGCCCCTCACCCCGCCCGCGCCCCTCACCCCGCCCGCGCCCCTCACCCCGCCCGCGCCCCTCACCCCGCCTGTCCCCCTCCACCCCGCCTGTGCCCCTCACCCCGCCTGTCCTCCTCACCCCGCCCGCGCCCCTCACCCCGCCCGCGCCCCTCACCCCGCCCGCGCCCCTCACCCCGCCCGCGCCCCTCACCCCGCCCGCGCCCCTCACCCCGCCCGCGCCCCTCACCCCGCCCGCGCCCCTCACCCCGCCCGCGCCCCTCACCCCGCCTGTCCCCCTCCACCCCGCCTGTGCCCCTCACCCCGCCTGTCCCCCTCACCCCGCCCGTCCCCCTCCACCCCGCCTGCGCCCCTCACCCCGCCCCTTAGTGTCCCCTCCACCCCGCCTGTCACCCCCTCCACCTCGTCTGTCCTCTTAGTGTCCCCCTCCACCCTGCATGTCCCCCCAATGTCCCCTCCACCCCGCATGTCCCCCTCAATGTCCTCTCCACCCCGCGTGTCCCCCCTAGCGCCCCCTCCACCCCGCATGCCTGCCCCACACCTGTGCGGTTCTGCACTGTGTCAACAGCAGCCCCACTTTTCAGTGGACGTGAACACCTGCTGGGCCCGGGTGGGTGTGGACGCCCCACTGAACCCTGTCTGTCCGCAGATGTCGTGGCCTACGTGGAAGTGTGGTCCTCCACGGAGAGGGAGAACTATTCCAAGACCTTCTCACACCAGCTCACGGCCATGGGGGCCAAGGTAGGAAGCTCTGCCGGCCACCCCGGTCGGAGGGCATCACCCATATGTAGAGATGGCTCCCTTTGTGTTTAAATTTGGGGAGCCCTCCCTGAGAGCTTGAAGGCCTCGGCAGTGGGCAGGTCTAGGGAGACATTTTTTAAAAAGAGGAAAATGGGTGGAATGGAGGAGAGTGGTCCTGCGGGCGTGGTGGGAAGCCCGTGGAGACCTGGCCTGCCTCCTGTCCCTGGCTGCCTAGCGCTTCTCTCAGTAGGAGCCATGTGGGAAGAGTGGGTTTGTATGTGTGCACTTTAGATTGGGGTGGGTGAGAAATGTCCCCTAGGCATCTGTAAGTACAGATCCAGAGCTGGGACACTCTTCACTAGAGATCATGATTTGGGGGCCAAAACCTGAGGGATCTGGTGAGATCTGGGCAGGGTAAGAAGAGACTTCCCACGGCATGGATGGGGCCAGCCGCTCAGGGATGGGGAGAAAAATGTCAGTAAAGCCAACAGGTAAGCTAGCCGGAAGCCAAAGGAGGAAGAATTTCCGAGGTGGAACAACAACACACTTCCAGTCCAGGGGAAAGAGGAGATAGATGGCTAATAACCTCTTGATTGAGAACTGTGCACTTGGTTCAGTTTCCCCTGGAGAAGACCCAGGGGATGGATGCCCGCTGCTGCTCCAGGAATCAGGCCCCAGGGAAGAGCTGGTGGGCGTTGTCTTCCCGGAAGGCAAGCTGTGTGTGAGCTGTGGGAACTTGCTTGAGTCAGGCCAGGGGGAGAGGCCGGTCTTAGAGTGGGTCAGAAGGTGAAGGAAGGCCAGAGGTACTAGTGTGAGCTAAATTCTGTTCCCAGTGCTCAGGACCTTAGGGGAATGTTACACCTAGCTCCTCCCCTGCCCTTTCTGAAGGGCAGCCGCTCTCAAATCATTCTCATTTGTTTCAGTATTTGCTTTATATTTCTCACAGATGACAGAGAGAGAAATTTTGAATGATCCATTTTGATAATTTGTGCTCAAGAGATTGTAAGTAGATAGTAATGTGCATTTTGTTTTCTGCAGGTCTCAAAAACTTTTAACAAACAAGTGACTCATGTGGTTTTTAAAGATGGATACCAGAGCACCTGGGACAAGGCCAAGAAGAGAGGGGCAAAGCTTGTGTCGGTGCTGTGGGTGGAAAAGTAAGCAGCCCTCATCCTTCTCCCTGAGCCTTCCTAGTCTTGGTACAAATCTAGTATTCTATTTTGTGCGCCCCATAGAAGCAGGTAGAGTTTGATCTTCCTGACTTTAGTGGGCAAGTAACTTAACATCTCCTAGCCTCGGTGTCTACAGCTTTAAAACAGATGCAGTTCCTCCTTCCACTGGAGGGAGGGTGAACCGAGGCCAGGAGGCCAGGAGCCTGGAATGGAAGACCACAAGAAGCGCAGTCCTCATGTTAGTCAGCTGGCCTGCAGGGGTGTGTGGTCCCTCTTCCTGTCCTGGGCCGTCTCCCCCAGTGCACTTCCCGCGAAGTGGCCACCACGCCACTCCTTTCGTTGTGGGGGAATTCAGTTGGTGAGCTACAGAGAAGCCACACGTTGAGAGGTCACACTGGGAGTCTTCATTAGAAAGCTGGCGCCTGCAGGTGGATTCCTGTCCCACACACCCGCAGCCTCGAATCCCACCACCAAGCTTATAAAGGCAGAAACCATAAGACCAGGGTGAGAAATGAATCCTAACGAGCAAATACCCAGGAGAGCAGCCAGCGCCTCCAGGACCCAGTTATCTGGAGGAAGCAAGACTTCCCTGGAGCTTAACAGCTCAGGGCACATCTGCACTCCACGGAATGTCCACTGTCACCCCTACAGTTCTCAGAGGGTCCCCATCTCCTGCTAAGGTGCCAGGATGGCGTTCCTGAGATCCGGGACCCAAATTTCAGTCTCACCTTACCCTGTCCTTTGATGTTATCCTGTCTGAAGGACCGGCAGATTCTGAGGTCCTGGGGGTTAGGTCATGTGTGTTTATGAAGTCTGAGGACATACTCTGTCCCCAGAGAGCCACGGAAAGGGTTAGGGAGCAGCTGGGGTGGGGGTGGGGGGTCACGAGCAGGGTGAGAAGCAGGGAAATGTGAGGGAGTGGGTGAGGGCGGAGGCGTGCCACGGGACATGCGCTCGCTCTCACGCTCGCTCTCTCCCTCCCTCCCTCCCTCTCTGGCCCCTCTCTCTTTCTCCTCCCTCCTCTCCCCCTCTCCCTTCTCTCTCACTCTCATCTGGGTAGTAGCAGGCAGGCATGAGGAATGGAGGGTCAGGGTGTGTTTGGTTCCAAGGTGATAGGGTCCATCCAAGGTGCCTGGGTGCTGTGTGTCTGGAGAAGGAATCAGGGCTGCCTGAGGTCTGGGGCCCTGAGGAGACAGAAAGATGGTTTCACCCTTGGCTGGGGCTGAGAAGACTTCAGAGACGGGTCAGGGATGAGCTGTTGGTCCCTTCTGCTCACTTTCAGGTGCATATCTGACATCTTTCCCGGGGAATGTCAGGAGGAGGCGGGAAGGAGCAGTCAGGGAAGGCTGGAGACACATGTGGGAATGATCATTCAGGGTGTGGGTTATTTCTGTTTACTTATTGTTGGGGCTGGGGCTATGATTCGGGTCCTCACAGTCACACTTGGCTTTTTTAAAGCTCAAGGCTGGTGCTCATTTCCATTTCCAGCTTTTCTTTTTTCTTTTTCTTTGTGTGGTGAATTGGTGCTGAGGTGGACTTTTCTGCACTAGCTAGCTTCAAACTTAGATCCTCAGGTCTCAGCCTCCTGAGTAGCTAGGCTGACAGGCGTGAGCCACCAGCGCCCGGCTGGAGCGGTTCTGGTCTTTGAGGCTGAGCTTCAGTGAGCTTGGCCTCTTGAGCATGTGGGTGCAGGGTCAGCTAGAAACTTGGCTTTTATCCTCAGAAGAAAACTGGGCTTTCAGAGCCCTGCCCCAGCCCCTGGGGTCGCCGTGCCCGCCCCCGGACGTGGTGAGGGGCAGGGAAGGGATCCCAGCTGGCTTGGGTTCCAGCTACAACCAAGAGTCGGGGCCGGGGGTAGCGGTGCGCACACTTCACACAGGGCCTTGGTGTCCTTACCTTGGCCCTTGCTTGGAGAGGGGGGCCGGGTCTGGAAGCAGCGAGGTCCTGGGAGCTCTGCCCCTCCCCTTCCTCATAGGCCAGAGTGTTCTCTGTCCCCCCAGTCTCCTGTGATCCGCACGCTGCCCTTCCCAAATCCCACCGGGAGGAGGGCCGTGGACAAGTGCACGTGGTGGCCGGGATGCTGTGCCTTCCCCTGGCCTGTGGTTCGTTTGTGGCCTGAGAGGGCTCAGCGCGGTTGAGGAAAAGCAGCTTGAAAGCTGGCCTCAGCCGTGGAGGCTCTTCCCAGAGCCGTGTACCTCCGGCCGCCGCTTCACTTCTCACTTCTGTGGGTCCTGAAGTGTCTCCCCTAGAGTGGATGGTTTTCAGGGCGTCTTGCTCTGGCCCGGCAGCCATCCACATGTGCCCTGGACTGGCCCTGTCCCTGCCAGGCTGTGCTTTGCGGGTAAGGACAGGGTGCTTGCTGTCTGGTGCTGGTCTGTGGGTCAGGGTGCGGCTTGTGGCCGGTGGAGCCCTGAACACCCTGCCCGCACGGTGCTGTGCAGCCTCGGAGCCCGGGCTGTTTGCATCGTGTGCTGTCTCTCCTGCAGGGGTCCCTTTTCCTGTGTGTGGATTCTGAGCCAGGCCGAGGAAGCTGCCATGGGACCGGTGGCCGCCTGTGGACTCTGCCTGCGGAGCTGCACCGCTGCGGCCGAGGTCACCCGACCCCTTGAGCCCAGGTGGCGTCTGCCCACCCCGCACAGCGCTGACCCTCGGCCGGAGCCCAGCCTCTCCTGCTGCCTCTAGCACAGCCTTTCCTCCGTTTCCCCCTCCTCCTGCCTCCCCTCCTCTTTTCCCCCTCCCCCTCTGTGATCTCCAGGCTCCTAGCCCAGTGTACTGGGGTCCTCTCTGCACCACATTTCCAGTCCCTTCTCAGAGGAGCATCCATGACTTCCCTCCCACCCCACGGGTTGGTTGTTTCTTCTCTTCCATCCCTTCTTGAGCTGTTAAGACTTATCTAGAGAAGGTTCTTAAGCTGTTAAGACTTATCTAGAGAAAGTTCTTGAGCTGTTAAGACTTATCTAGAGAAGGTTCTTGAGCTGTTAAGACCTATCTAGAGAAAGTCTTCAACCAGTTTCTAGAGGGGCTGCTTTTGGTCAGGAAACGTCATATGGAAATAATGTAAAACGCTGTGTAACTAGCATTTGCTTAAAGGCTGTTAAAAGCAAGTCAATTAAAATAAAAAATGTATTCTAAACTATTAAGACTAATAGTAACTATGTTGAAAAGGAGAGAGAGGATGAACCCCCTCTTTTGTTTAAGGTAAAGGAGGAGAGTAAGTCTAAAGGGAAGTTTGTCTACTAGGAAATTAAATGTGTAAATATGGTTCTTCGACTACATTTGTTACTCACAAGTTCTTTTTGCTCTTTGGTTGTTTTTGTTTGTTACTGTTTTGAGTTTTGCTTTGTCTTGTTTTTGGTGCTGGTCCTGGAGCTTGAACTCAGGGCCTTACACTACACTCAGCATCACTGGAGGGAGATAGGAATATTGTCAGATTTGTCTGCCCCAGCTGGCTTCAAACTGTGATGATCCTCAGCCCTCAGACTCCTGAGTGGCTAGGGTTATAGATGGAAGCCATCAGCACAACAAGAGCAATAGGACTGTCTAAACTGTATCATACTACGGACTCCATGAGTGTCCCTACCCTTTGTTTGTGGCTGTGGCAGATACTTCTGCTCATGACAGATGCTCAGTAAATCATTGCCCTAGCATACCTCATAGATTAAGTGGTGGGGTGATGCGGGCTGCATCTGGAAGGCTGTATGGAGTGTGGAGGGAAAGTACTCAAGACCGGGACCTGTACCAGTGCTTGGAAGTCAACTGAACACTAGGTGCTTCTGCTAAGTTTTCTCTCCCTAGAGCCCTAGTATTTGTTGTTCCTCTCCTCTCATTTTTTCACCTCCAGCCCCAACTCCTATTTGTCAAGAAGTTACCAGAAAAAAGTACACGATTTTTCAAAAGTTCATTTAAGGGGTGCACCACCAATCTCCTGAATATTTTTGTGGTCCTGGCACTTGAACTTGTAATGCTCTACCACATGAGCTACAGCACTACATCTCGCCTTTTTGGTGGTTAATTGGAGACACAAGTCTCACGGACTTTCCTCTTAGCTTCCTGAGTAGTTGGGATTACAGGCGTGGGTCACTGACACTGGCCCCTGGCATTTTTAATGCAAATTTTTTCTCTTGTTTATTCTTTATTATAAGCACATTTTAGTTATTACATACAGTTAATTACTTTTTAAAATCTCCTTTGCTATCTTAAAAACATAACCTTCTTTGGAATTAAATGTATTTTTAGATGTGCAAATGGTTTTAAGTGAGAAACTGCCCAAATCTGCTCTTACCTTGTCTTCCTCCCTCTACACTGGGAGAGACCAGGGAGAACTTTTGGTGTAAAATCTCAGATTTCTTACAACTCATATGAAAGCATAAAAATACATGCGTAATTGACTTCTACATTTGTATAAACAATGTTGCTTTGTGCATAGAGAATTATGTTAATGATTAGAGGACAGTTTTCCATGTTGGCTCCCAGAGAGACTGACTTTCTAACATGTAAAATCATCTTTTGTAATAGATTTGATAATTTATGGAACTCACAGGTTTGAGTTTCAGAATTGGGTCTTGGAGTTCAGAGGGTTTGAATATTTAAATTTTTGATAGTGGCCACATTACCTCTTAATGTCCCGTTCCAGCCCTCCGAAAGGACTTTGTGCCGTTCCTTCCTAATATGTAAGCGGCTCCTGACAGAGCACCACCACAACCTGTTTCGTACCTCACATGCCACTTCCAGTGGCTGTGATGCTGTGTGGCCACTAGCTGTCACCACAGCTCCACTCTGGGGTTTATTCCAGCATTCTCTCTGAGAGCAGGCTCTAGGCCATAGAAACCAGTGTAGAAGCTGAACGCCGATGGGTCACGCCTGTAGTCCTAGCTACTTAGAATTCTGACATCTGAGGATCATGGTTCAAAGCCAGCCCAGGCAGGAAAGTCCCCCTGAGATTCTTAGCTCCAATTATCTTTGAACTGTGCCTCAGAGTGGCAGAGTGCTAGCCTGAAGCAAAAGAGCTCAGGGACAGCTTCCAAGCCCTGAGTTCAAACACCACAACCAACAAACAACAACAAAAAAAATGTAGTATAGAGTTCCTCAGGTATTAAAAAATGCTGCTTCCTGGTGAGCCAGCTGTTAGCAGTTCTGCGTATATACCCCGAAAGAATGAAAGAATCAAAATCGGCTTGCACCTGGTGTTAGTGGCACCATCCCCCATAGCCAAGTTAGTTAAGGACCTGCCTGGGCGCCCCCCCGCCCCCCGTGGGTGGGCGGGTAAAGGACCGCGGTGACATGGAGCTGGCAGCAAATGCGGGGAGCGGGGGTGGCCGGGGAGCTGGGGTGGCCGGGGAGCTGGGGTGGCCGGGGAGCGCGGGTGGCCGTGCGCAGTGGGAGAAGCCCATCTTGTGTGATAAGTGCTCCCTCCCATGTGGACGCTGAGAGGGAAAAGAAGGAGATGGAAGTGTAAGCAGGGACCCGGAGGCATGGAAGGCACTGGGGAGCTCGGAGGCAGGGGAGGGAACCAAGGGCCGAGGATGAGCACTGTCACTCAGTGCACGGATTGAGATGCTTTGTCCAAATAATATACACCAGTCCAAGTAACCTTAAGAAAACAGAGCGGACTGTCCCGCAGCCCCCGGTCCCCTGAGGAAATTGACGTTTCCTCGAGGGAACAGAAAATGATTCATTGTAAGAAGAGATTCAGGTGGAAGAAATGAAAACAGCGTGGCTCTCACCTGTGGTCAGAACTTAAGGTTTTGAAGCCACCACTAACAGATGGCAATGCTTCTTACGGCTACGGCCCCGGCCGGGTTGACGCCCGGCTCATCGCCACACTTGGCATTTCCCCGGGCGGTGACAGGTGCCAGGCAGCTGGAGGTGTCTGTATCTGCATCGTGGCCACTTTTCTCCCTGCTTGCTTGTGCGTATTGAGGCCTGTGCTTGCTGGGCAGGCACTCTGCTGCTGAGCCCTTGTTTGTTTGTAATCAGTTTCTCTATAAAAGGTGTTTTTTTTTTTTAAGTTGATACAAGGTTTCTAAATAAGGAATCAGGACCAGGTTCAAACCACAGCTGTGTCTAAAGGCATCCCCTGTGGGAGGGGCTCCGGCCAGCTCAGAACAGGTATTTCGGTGGCTGGGTGTTCTTGGTGGGAAAGCACCAGTGCATCCGTCAGGAGTCCCTGCCATGGCTTTGCGCTCGGTCACGGTCTGTTCCCTTGGCGGTGGTTTGGTGTTTGGCAGTGAGTGGAGATGGGGTAGCTTACGTCCTGCCTCCTCCCCCCCTCCACACACGGTATCAGAATTCCAGTGCTTTGGGTTTGAAGCCTTCTTCCCCTTGTTTTGGTCTAGATCTTACAGGTTTCTAAGCTTTCCCTAGCAATCCTTTGGATCTGATCAATCTTAGCTCCGATGTTCATGACGCACACCCCTGCAGTGCGGTGCCTCGCTCCTCAGGGTTCTGTTTCCCCTGGAATCTAGGCATGGGTGCTAGGACTGTGCTTGCCCAGCTCAGTACCACCCGTGGGGGCAGCGCGCTTTCTGTGAATTCTGTGTTAGGGAACACGGTGCTGTGGGCAGCTTGGCCCAGGTGAAGACAGGAAGGAGGGGGCCTTGCAGGCGCCGTACCGGGCCTTGCAGGCGCTGTACCTGTGGGTGAGAGGCGTGTGAGCGCGGCTTCCCAGGGAAGGGTGCCCAGGGAAGGGCGCCCGGGACTCCTGATCCCCAAGAAAAGAGACCCAGAACTTGGTTATGTTCTTGGGAGTGTTTCCTCTCTTGACCACTAGATGGGGGACGCATGTCTCCGTCTCTCGTTCCTGGGCAGCAAGTGCAGTGCTGAGGCTGCCTGGCTCTCCTGGGTTAGCCTCGTGCCCTCCGCATCACAGCCTCGGTTCCTGGCCTATGTGCATGCACAGGCTGCTGCATGGACTGATGTTACCAGCCGTGGGCAGGAAGCAGTAGCTCAGCCGAGGGACCCCATTCAGAGCAGGTCTGCGCCCTCCTGGCCTGTCCCCAGGTAGTGGAGAACACAGATCACTGAATTTTGAGAACTATGTTCACATTGTAACTACCACACTCTACATACGTAGCATTTCTCCTCCCCCAAGTTCCCTGATGAAATCCAGGGAATTGGATTTTACGCTCATTGAATTTGTTACTTCGTACCGTGTCCCCTGGCCGCCCCAGCCCTGGACAGCGAGCCTCTGGTCCCGATGCTGGGTTCCACAGATGGGCTGGTCCAGCGCATACCGCCTTACACCTGTCCTCAGCCACGCAGCGTGACCTCAGACTGTCCCTCCCGCGCTGCGCAGCATTCTGCCACAGGCCTGACCCCTTGTCTTCATTCCTTTGCCACACAGTGGAAATCCGAGGCGTTTTGCATCCTGGGTTGTTGTAAATGGAGTTGCTATGAACATTCAAGTTTGTCTGGGTTTGGTTCATCCAAAACCTATTTTATGGCCAGTTTATTTTTACCATATATAGCTAGAAACACCTGCTTTTACCTTTCTAAGTGCCCTGTACTAATGAGTTTGAAATACATTAGAAGTGTAAAATTGGTACAGACAAACTATATTTCTCATATGGCCTCTCACTTTTGTGGTCTTTGGTCTCACTACATAGTCCAGGCTGCTCTTGAACTCATGATCCTCCTGCTTCAGTCTCCCAACAAAGAGCTGTCACACCTGGTTGGCTTTTCTTCTTAACACTAAACAAACAAAAACCCCACCTTGTAGATGCAGTCCGGGAAAGTTTACGCTGATGATCGGATTCGGTCTCTATCGAGATCAGCTGTGCGGGTTCCTCCGCTTGCTGAGGGGTATCTTTGGACGCATGCTCACAAATGGCCTCCCTTGTTACAGATGCAGGACGGCAGGAGCACACGTGGACGAGTCCCTGTTCCCTGCGGTCAACACCAAGGAGCCTTTGCCAGGTCTGCTTAGGAAAAAAGTAAGTAGCACACCCCCAGGTGGGCCCGGGTGGCCGTGAGCCTACTCACGATTATTTTCTGTTCCTAGAAAATAATTCTGCTACAGATCTTTTCAAGAATACCTGACATCGGCTGTTGATCCTAATCTTTCTATGTCATCTTTTTAGAGATTATTTTGTGAATGCTTTGGTGTAATGTATAAAAAAATGGAAACGACTGGTTGGCATTGAGAAAATGAGAAGTAGCCCAACGGGTAGCGAGCTTTGGGCATGCTGATGTTGACCTTGGGGTTGCTCTTCCATCTGTAGCGAAATGCCTTGTTCTGTTCACTGAGAAAGCTCTAAAGCCTGCTACAGATACATGCAAGCGTGAAAAGTCATTTACTGCAGCAAATCTGCTTTACGAATAAGAGATTTTTCATTAAAAGTCTCATTTACTTTTGAACTACAACTTTTCTAGCTCTGTGTTTTAAGTTTTAGTCCTGATTTCTTTATTTGACAATGAACTGTTGTGAAACCTCATAAGAACCTGTGTTAGAAGACTTAACGACTTTCTCTGACCTGAGTTAGGTGGAAACTGTTCTAGAAAGAAGAATCAGGGGCAGGGAAGGTGACTCAGTGGTAGAGCACCTGCCTTGTATGACTGAGGCCCTGGGTTTGATTCCTCAGCACCACATAAGCAGAAAAAGCTGGAATTGACACTGTGGCTCAAGTGGTAGAGCGCTAGCTTTGAGCTCAAGAGCTGAGGGACAGCGCCCAGGCCCAAAGTTCAAGCCCACAACCAACATACACACACACACAAAGAAGTAGCACAGGCTGCTTCGGAGCATGTGTGTCTCCCCTCCCGGCAGCAGCAGTTTGACAGCCTCCCCCGGCCTGTTCTGTGCTTCGTCACACACGCCCGCCCGGCTCCGGTGGCTGCGCTCTGTCAGGCCCTGCGTTGTCTGGCGGTGGCTGCGCTCTGCCAGGCCCTGCGTTGTCTGGCGGTGGCTGCGCTCTGCCAGGCCCTGCGTTGTCTGGCGGTGGCTGCGCTCTGTTTGCCAGACCCTGCGTTGTCTGGCGGTGGCTGCGCTCTGTCTGCCAGGCCCTGCGTTGTCTGGCGGTGGCTGCGCTCTGTCTGCCAGGCCCTGCGTTGTCTGGCGGTGGCTGCGCTCTGTCTGCCAGGCCCTGCGTTGTCTGGCGGTGGCTTTGCCTTCCCCGCTCAGTGGTGTGCTCCTTATCATGCAGTACTGATTCGTCCTCTCCCCGTGTCACTGCAGGAATGTGCCACCCCATGTCGTGTCTGAGCTTTGTGTCCAGTTGCATGTCCAGAGGTGGAAACACTGGCTTAGTACAAATGTAGTTTGGCTGTGCGTGTGTGTGCACGCGCATGTGTGCGTGTGCCCATGCCTCTGCTAGTGCCAGTCCTGGGGCTTGAGCACAAGGCCTTGTAATCTCGCCTAGCTTGCTCTCTCAAGGCTGATGGTCTACCACTTGAGTCACTGCTCCACTTCCAGCTTCTGGCTGGCTAACTGGAGATGAGAGTCTCACAGATGTTTCTGCCTGGCCTTGACCAGCGATCCTCAGATCGCAGCCTCGTGAGTAGGTAGGATTACAGAAGTGAGATGCGCTGGCGGCCTTTCGGGTCCAGACTGTTCTCTCACTGGCGTGTGGAGCGCCCGTCGGGCCGGGCCCCGGGGGCTCACGCCTCTGCTCTCAGCCTGTGTCCCCTCCGACGGCATCCGTCCGAGTCTCCTCCCAGCCGCTGGGCTGGGCTTGGGCTCTGACCGGCCCCTTGGGCAGCACCAGCTCCTTTCTGCCTGGAGCAGCCTGGTGTGGCTTTTACTGTCTGTAGTGCTGGTCATCTCTTGCTAGTGCTGCCAGAAATGGTGGCACTTAGATTAGACACAATCCAGTGGCTCCAGGTGGTCCACAGGCCTCAAAGTAACAGTGACGGTGGAGCTCCATCCTCTGCCAGCCCTGTGCTCCGAGCTGGCCCGGCCAGGCCCCTGCCCGCAATTCCGCCCCTGGCACTGCACGGCCCTCCGGGCAGCCCTAGCAATGAACAGCGCAACCCACAGTCATCAAAACCCCTGTTGAAGTACATTTCATGTCAGCCCAGCTGGGGCCTGCCGAAATGAGCCCCCAGCACCCATAGCAGGTGACTCAATGACTTAGTTTATTTCTTGCTGTTCCTTACAAGTGCAAACTCTGATGACAGCATCTTTCTTGATGGCCAGACCAAGGTCCGGGGTGCACTGAGTATAGTAGCACTGAGTTAACACGTGAGGGAACGGCTAGCTGGAAGAGCAAGACCTGTAGTGGAGATGCACCCGTGGCCAGGCCTCGAAGGCCTGAGGGATGAGATGCTCTTCCAGTCAGTGAGAGGACAAGCAAGTCCGGGCTGGAGCCTCAGAGCTCTCAGCCTCGGGTCCTCGACCGGAGTGCTGGCAGAGTGCAGAGCAGTGGGTGTGTCTGCGTGGTACTGGGGGCAGCAAGCGGGGGTTCAGGAGAAGAGAGCCTCAGGTGAGCTGTGTCTTAGAGGAGACGCTGCCCTTTCTGTCAGGAGGGTAAGAGTAGAAGGTTTGCCGCCGCCACCGACTTTCCTGTGATGGGGCTGGGCCTGTGGATGGAGCTGAGGTTTGGGGGTTTGACTGGCTGACCAGAGGTACTGTGAACCTGAAGTACTAGGCCTTTCCTTTGGTAATTTTGGATTCGTTGCTTTTGTGTTCCCTTGCTCTGTTGTGATTGCGGAGGGAAGCTATGTAACAGCCGCAGGAAAGGAAAGAGGCTCGCTCTAAGAATATCTGGGGGTTAAGAACTCCGGGACCTGAAATGACCCATAAAAACAGCACCATGGTAGAGAGCCTGTCATGTAATCTTTCAGACTCTGATTTAAAACTTAATGACCCAAGAAGAAGCATCTCATTGGTACGCATAAAGAGCAAAACCACCTCTTTAAGAAGTTGTTGCTGCTGGTGCTGTGAAGGCTACGAGCGTGCGTGAGACGCGTCTTCCAGCCATGAGCACATCTGCAGTGGAGCATCCCTGATCTTCCTGTCCTTTTTTGCACAGCATAAGTGTATGCAGCCGAAAGACTTTGTTCCAAAAACACCAGAAAATGATAGAAGACTGCAGAGGAAATTTGAGAAAATGACTGAAGAGCTACAGAGGCAGAAGATGACCTCAGGTGAGCCCAGAAATGCAAAACAGGGTTTGCGTACCAGCCAGGGGAGGGGTGGACGAGATGGTGGAGTGGCCCGTGATGGTGGCCGAGGTGTAGCGTAGGGAGCCCTGAGCCCGCACCGCCGTCCGCAGAGCCGCGGGCCGAGCTGTCAGCCGCAGCAGTCTCGACCTCTCAGACCGACGGAGTCAGGTTCACACAAATGCCCTGTGGCCAGATTCACGTGTGGGTGTGAGCGTCCCTGTGTGTGAGCAGTGGTTACTCTGGGTGCTGTCCAAAGCCAGGATGTAGAAGCCTGGGTGTATTCTGGCTCCCACCTTCCCTCCAGCATTGATTCTGAGTAAAGTTCCGAACGCCTTGTGTTGCCTGGTGAGACCTGCGTAGCGCGGTGCCTGGCACAGGATGGAAGCTCAGCGGGTGGAGTCAAGGGGCACACACCCGGTGTGGGTATGGGGTTGGCGGGCGGCCGCGGGGTCAGGTTCTCAGGAGCAGTCACACAGAAGGAGCAGGGGGCCTCTCCTTTCCTCAGTCTCAGTCCGAGAGTGTGTGTTTCCAGGGCCGGATGCTCCCGTTCTCTTGTTTGAGTGTCCGGGCTCGCTGACGTACAGCCCGTCTGCCACCTTCCGCAGTCACCAGAACGCCACGGAGAAGAGGCTGGAGGAGACGGAGAAGAGGGAAGAGCTCTCCCCGACATGTAAGTCGATTCTGTCATCAAGTGAGCTATGAAGATGGTGAATTATGGTGAAAAGGTTTCTGCCTTAGCCTAGATTTTTCTTTTCCCCCCAAAGATTGAACACAGGGCCTCTGATCTGTCTCGAGAGCCCACACCTCTCATCCACACCTCCTGGGCATTTCTCCCAGCGAAGGTTTTATTGGTAGTTTCCTCCACAGAGTCACACGCTTCCTTAAGACTTTTAAAGCATGTGTTAGTTCTATAATATTCTCCAGTTTCAAATCTGTCTCCCTCCTCTTCCTTTCCTAATGTCTTCAGAATGTTTTGCTTTTTGAAAAATGATGTAACTCGAGTCTCTTGAAGGAATTTATTTGGTACTAACGTGCCAATATCAGGTTATGTTTGCTTTTTTCTTGTTGTTTTTATTCTTTTGCTCTGTTGGCCCTTGTGCTTGCTAGACAAGAACTCTTTCATCTAAGCCTCACCTCAGCCCTATTGTTTCCTTATATTTTTATTATTTTAACCACTAAAACAGTGAGCACACTCTAGTGAGACACGTAAGAGTGTCACTAACATGAAAGCTTCACCTCGCTTCCCGCTTCCTTCTGCTCCGGTCTGTCCGTGTGAGCTGTCTTCGCACCCTGCCTGGGTTCCCTGTGGATGAGGACTGACTTTGCCCCTGCGTTATTCTGTAGCGCTCTTCCTCTCTTGTTCGCATCCTGTGCTACAGGCATGTGCGCTGAGTCTTTATGGACTCTCGTGTACTTAGATCGTGTTGCGTCACAAAGACAAATCTGAAAACTTTTTGATTGATAACAGTGAAATTACCTTCAGCAAAGTTGGGCCATTTTTTTCCTTTGCCACTTGTAAAAGTGCCGGTTTTTCTGTACTTGGAAGGCTAGCTGGCCTCAGCGCTACATCTTTTTACAATCTGAACCTGTGGGACAGGGGTTTCTGTGTTTAGGCTGCTGCTGGTCATTAGAGAGATGGAATGTGTGGGCATGATTGTGCTTGCCGAGTGGCCTCTGAAGCCTTTGACCACCTGCCCACCGTTGGTTTCTTCCTAACTAGTAGGGACTTTTAAAAAGTTCAATGCTTAATCTCTCTTCAGTTTATATTTGTGGATGATAGAAAACATGCACCACTCTCAGTTAAGGTTACTTTGAGATGCACACAACAAAGTAACATAAAAGCCCACAGTTTAAATTGGGCGGAACTGCTTTTCTCCCTATGTCAAGTCTAGAAATGGGCAGTTGGGGTCTAGATGTCCATGCCGGGTGTCTGTAAGGTCCTAGAGTTCCCGTCTTTCTGTTTTCCTTCCAGCACTCTGATCCAATTCAGGCAAGTTGGCTTCTCCAATCACGGTTTTTATGATTCTGTGATGGGATGCTGTTTCATAATATAAATTAATTTGCTCTGCACCTGCAGTAGACTGACCTGTCTGGAACGGGCCGTGGAGAAGGTTCAAGTTCATGTGAGATGGAAGGGTGGAATAGGTGGACTTCCTGTGTGTTATCTTACCTGCTAGAAAATCCTGAGGTCAGGAGTAGTGAAACGTTTGCCTCTTCCTCCCAGCTTCCCCCGTGACTGGGCAGCCTCGGAAGAACCCAGGAACCTCTTTCCCTGAGGCATCCTGTGACGTGCCACTTGATCCTTTGTGTTCAGGTAAACTTTCCATCTTCTTTGTTGTGATAGAGTTGTCATATGAGAACAGCTGGTTTTCTCAATGGGAATTTCATGTGGTAGTGAGCTCATAATACCAGCTCCTCAGCAAGCTAGGATTGGGAGGATCAGTTCAAAGCCAGCCAGGGTAAGAAGTTAGCAAGACCTCATCTCAACAAGCTGGTCATGGTGGCTGCACCTGTGATTCAGCCGCACAGGAGACATGGGTAGAAAGAGCTTCATCAAAAACTAGCCCAGGCAGAAAGCACAAGTCCCTACATGAAAATAACCAAAGCAAAGGGGAGCTGGAGTGTGGCTCAAGTGGTAGAGTGCCTGCTTTGTGAGCAGTTCAAACCCCCTGTTAGTGAGGGCCGAGAGTTAATTTTCCTAAAATTTTACATTTAATAAAACAAATACATGAGAAATGCATGCACTGATTCTCCTCCTTGGCTCCTGTGGGTTCTTTTCAGGTCGCTGTCTTCTTTTAACATTGACTCATTTATGTGCAATTTAAACTGTATAGAACCAAAAAGGAGCCCAGGAGCAGTGACTGCACGCCGTGGGTACTGGGCATCTAGAACGTGCTGTTGGGGTGCTCTGGTCTGTGTTTCCGGGACCCTTGGTTCACTGGGGAAGATGTTTTCAAAGATCAAGCTTTCCTTTGGTTCCCTCAAGTTCCCACATGGGGCCTCGCTCAGGGGCAGCCCGAGAGAACGGGCTCAGAGTGTGGAGTGGCGTTAGCAACTACAGCACAGCTCAGGACAGCTCGGCCGCTAGAGTTTGCCACAGGCCCTATGAGCACACACCTTGCTCTTGCCATCTCGGGGGGGGGGGGGGGGGGTTACTTACACCTTTATCATCATCCCCTGCTTTATGTTAGTCTATCTATTTGCGTTCCCTTCCCCCGTGTGAGCTCTGCCTCGTGTCCTCTGCACCCTTAGCACTGCACACAGGTCAGGCACCCTCCCAGGTTTGCAGGTTAAGTGGCTAGTGCAAGATCACATGGTGGGGATGGCAGACTCTGCCAGCCGCCCTAGGAAGCCAGACTTTAGCGTGCGTGCTGTTACTTTCATGTCCCCTCCACACCGCTCTTTAACCAGGCGTGGCGCCCGGCCGGCTGCTGCCCGCTGTGCCTGAGAATAGGGAATAGGGCTGGCAGAATGCCTGCTTTCTTCCTCTGGAAAGGCAGGGCTTGTGTTCCAATACCTGCACTCCCGTGTTCAGAGCAACCAGGGTGTCCGTGCATGTGTACGTGCGTACGTACGTGCGTGCGTACGTGCGTGCATGGTGTCGTCTCTAAAACAGAGACCCTTGGCCAGCATACCCTGCACCCCTAGGGAAACCACAGCAGCCTAGCCTGGGTGGAGACTAGAGGCCCCCTAGTGAGCAGAAAGTGGGGCCTGTACCACATCCCAACTAAAGGGGAGGACAGGCAGGGCCTAGAGGTCTAGGACAGCCTGGAAATTTCCCGAGGCAGGAGGAGCAGAGTGCAGGAAAGAAAGGTGTGCGCTGTGGAGGAGTGCTGAGTAAAGGCTTCAGACTCAAGTTTCAGCGAAGCAGAAGGACTTACTGGAAGAGCGAGTTGTGTTAGTTAGGAGACCAGAACTTGACCTGGACCTTACAGCAGTCGGAAAACTTCCCGGAAAACTCAGTGCCCAGCTGTGGACAAGAGGGCGCATGTGCGTGGACACCTGGATGAGGATTGCAGAGATGGGTCCCCACCCCGTCCCCTCTGTCCCACACGTGCCACAAGCCTCAGGCATCCCCACAAGAAGAGCAAAGGGGCAGAGCCGGGCAGGGCTCTTCCGCTGACAGCCATGCTGACAGGTGTTGGTAGCTTGAAACCACTTTGAAAGTTAACCTTTCTTGGTGCTTCCAGGTAAACTCTGGGCCCGCAGTTTGCACCCATCTTTCCGTGGTCTCTGTGAAAACCAGGACGAGAACCGGGGAGGCTCTGCGCGTGGCGCCTGCGCTTCCTTGTCCGCGATGATGGACAGTACTCGGCCATCGCCATCATCCACGTCCCCCAGCCAGCCACATCCCCGGGAACCCGTGAGCAGTCCTCTCGGGGAGGAAAGAAGCTGCCAGAGAGACCGGCCAGGGGAACCGGCCAGCCCGGACCCAGCACGAGCTGCAAGCGCGTCTGAGAAGCTGGCTGGAAAATATAGTTTGTCTCCGGCAGTGTCAACAGAAGACCACCTTTTAGCACATTCCAGACCCAGCTCCTCCACAAAGAGAAAAAGAACAGCGGTGGACCTGAGTTCAGCTCCAAAAGAAAAACTGAAGAGGAGGAGCCACAGCAGAGGGCCCGCCCTGCGGCCCTGGACCAAGACAGGGCCCAGCCTGCCACCGCCGGCCCAGCCCGCCCCACTGTCCCCTGGCTGTGGCGGGGTGTCCTACGAGGACTACTTCTCAGCTGACAATCTGAAGGAGAGGAAATCAGAGCTGCTCCCGGCTCTGTCTTCCCCCCTCAGCTGCCGGAGCTTTTCTAAGAGGGAGAGAAGAAGCGTCTTAGAAAGGTCTGATTTTTCCTGCATGGGTGAAAAATCCAGACCGGTCCACATGAGCGATTTAGCTGCAAAAACGAACTCCCATCTTCATAAACCTGCAGTTGACAACATGCGTCCCGCTTCTAGTTGTGTGGCTTTAGAAGAACCAGCTGCAGTGGAGCAAGGCCCAGGCCACACCCGGCAGGCTGGCCCTCTGCAGAGGGGAGACTCCCACTCAACAGAGGGCACCCACCCTCACGGTGCAGACCCCTCTCCATGCCCAGCGGAGCCCTCTGGCGGCCGAAGGCCCGGGCAGAGCCCCCGAGAGGATGTGAGAGATCGGACAGGCACGGAAAGCGCCCAGAAAGAAGACGATTGTGGGCTTGACTTTGGAGAAGACTCGAACACAGAGAGATCCGCAGAAGACAAGGAAAACGTGTCCTCCAGCTGCAGTGAAAGTATGTGCCTCTCCCTTTCCAAGTTTCTTTATTAAACCTGTATGCAGTAGCGCGTCCATAGTTTGAATTTATCACAGCCTGGGCATCATTTCAATGATTTTTTTCCCCATTGTGACCATTTCTTACATTAAAGAATCGGCGTTTGATTATTTCTCAGTGATAGGTGGGATCCCGAGGCTGAGTAGAGGTGGCATGTGTGGTGCTGGGTACAGTCCCCAGCTGTGGTCGGAATGACAGGACTCGGGCGAAAGGCTGACCGGAGCCTCCTGGGCCCTGGCGGTCTCTCCCGGCACCCAGCACGCTTGTGGAGAGCAAGCGCCTGACGGAAGCGTCTGAAAATCGGGAGTCAGACAGTGAGGCTGTTTATGGTAGAATCAGAGCCACGCTTTTCTTCCTTGGCTTTTGTTAATATTGCGACCCTCAGATCTCAGCCTCCTGAGTAGCCAGGACGACAGGGGTGAGGGCTGGGTTGAATCCTAATGGTCACCTCCAAAATGGCTCATCTGTGGGGAGCTTAGCAATGACTTGCACACGCGTGTGATTGCCCCCAAAGAAGCAACGGTAAGAGAGCGGCTTGCACTTAAGTTCTAGCACTCAAGACAGGAGAAAGCCTGGGCAGTGAGCGTCAGGACCGACAGACTCGGTTGACAGTTGAGTGAGATACGTTGTCTCCTTGGCTCCTCAGCTCCTCAGCAGGTATAACCACTGTGTGCCAGCGAGGTGAGTCATCAGATGGGTCATCTCCTGGGACAAAGCACCCCAAAATTACCTCACAAAAAAAAGTAAAATACATGTTGTACATACCATGTCTACTAGTTATATCTCATACCAAATCCAGGAGGAAACTGTATTGTACGTTGTACTCTGGTTAATATATATGTTTATTTAAAATCGTTCTGTAAATCTATTTAAAGCGAGCGGCCTGGCTAGTGTGAAACCACGCAGCTGTGGGATTGTCCGGCTCGCTCAGAATATTGTTCTTAAGGCTTACCACCAAAGTGTCCGTTTTTAGCGGGTATGTCTTTTGTGACTTTTGTGGTTTGACACGGTGGTGTGAGTGGAGTGGGGACAGACCCCGCTCAGCCGCACAGCTGGACTCCTAGCGTTGTAGCCTAAGAGTGCTTCCCCGCCTGTCCAGGGCCAAGCCCCAAGCGTCTGGGTTAAGTGGGGGAGGCGGAGGACACAGCCACTGTGGGTGCTCTGGGACTGGGAGGAGATTTAAAGGCTTGGGCGAGGTGTGGCATGGCCGTCACCGGCTGCAGACAGGACCTGGGGCGTGTCCATTAACTCAGAGGGAAATATTCTGTTCACCCTGAGGTAGGACTTGCCACAGAGCTGTCTGCCTGCCACACGTCACCCCAGAAAAACATGGGACTCTCAGGATAAGAAAAGACATTTTTTATACCAACAACACGGGGACACGTGGACATTGGCCAGCCAGGACTTGGGCATAGCAACTGTTGGGCACCTTCCATATGCAGAAGGATAACCCTTCAGTCAAAGGGGCTCTGTGCCAGCCAGGACTGGGGCAGGAAAGAGGTGCTGCTAGACCTCCCCAAACCTTTAATCCCTGTTTCCACTCTGTTGTACTTGTCTAAGACAGTGTGCAATAAAAGTTGTAGTAACAAATTGTGAATAGGCCCAATAGTAGACAGGTCAGAATAAATGGAGGCGAAGCAACTCCAACATCATTAATGCTTTTACATTTTATTCTCTAATTTTATAGAATGTACAAGTACATCCCCCTGTCACAAAGAATAAAATATTCCCTTCTGCTGTGCCTCATTTACATCCTTGCTTTGGTTCTTCAATTATTATCAAGACCAAACTGTGTCGTTGGCCGGTTCAGGAGGGCCCCTTGTTTGTGGGGAGAGGGAGAGGGAGAAGAAGTCAGCCCAGACTCCACTCCCCGCGGTGGGGTGGGGAGGGAGGTGTGTAGCGGGGCAGGGAGATGTTTTTGATTTGTTTCCCAGGGTGATGAGAAGCCCCTGGGATTCTGAGTAGGGGAGTAACCAACTCTGATTTGTGCTAAATGTAATCTTGGATACTTTGGAGAATAAACTGTGGTTTCAAGTGTTTGCGAGAGGCAATCAGTGTCCAGAGTGACAAATACAAACATATTCAATAGAAAGTTTCAGCACACATACAATTATATTATCCTGTTGCCTTAAATTTACCCCTTTTCTATCCTTGCTTTCAGATATATTTACATATTGGTGTCTGTAAGCCTTTATTTCCCAAGTATCATATATATCAAGGATTAGTGTAATTTTCTGTAATGTGTCAGAGTAAACATTTAGGATTCATAGGCAACTTGAAGTACTTAGGAAAACACTTGTATAGAAATGTAGGTCTCAGGTACTTAGATAAATAATTAAACAAGAGAAAGATGCTTTCACAAAACTTGTATTGATGGAAGTACCATTTTTGGTAGTGTCAATCTATGAAAAGGACGGAATTAGGGGTGCAGAGGAAGAGCTCTGCACTTTGGGACCCACGTAACTGAATGTCCCCATCACGGTATTGATGGCAGTGGTCACGAAGGCTGAGGCGTAGTCCTACATCGCTGGTCCACAGAGGGGTGTTGGCAAATTGGATTCCTACCCACAAGCAGAGGGTCTTCATCAGGCCTGGTTTTGGTGGGAAGGCATCTCAGAACTGCGTTCGATTCTTCCCGTGTGGCCTCCTCACACCCTTACATTGCACATGAATCACTTGAGATTGGGCGCTGGGTTTATAGAGAAGGTTCTCGAACAGAGACCTCCTTTTGCTGTCAGACCTGGAAAACAGCAAGAATTGTTGTTGTCTAAGCTCAAGAAAAGTGTCCATGGAAATGGAGAGTGTGTCTTATTGTTACCTTTTGGCCTGTTATTTTTGTTTGACACAAGCTCCCACAGTGTGGCCCAGGCCGTCCTCAAACTCCCCATCCTGAGTTCCTGAGAGCTGGTGGTCCAGGCCAGCTCTGCCACACCCAGCTTTGGTTTTCTCTGCTGACAGTACCAGGTACGAAACATGAAGCAGCCTGACGTTGTTTATGTATTTAAATGCTGTCTTTCACCCCTCACGCCGCCGTCAGCCACGGTGCTCTGCTCTCCACGAGTCAGTCTGGATCGTCAAGCCGTCAAAGCGAGTTCGTGCGTGCGCTGCAGTCATGCACTGTGGGCCTCGCAACTTCCTCTCACTAATGACGGAGGTGCCACTTGGGGTCACACCCCCGGCTCCGGCACAGATTTCCCTCTGTTGTGTGTGGTGAGGTTTTGCCTGCCAGCCTTTTGCACGTGTGTGTTCGCTTATCTGGGCATTGTGACCAGGTCCACTGCTAGGTTCTTTTTCATGGTGGCAGGTGATAGTTAGCTATGCTTCCATCAGACCTTCTGAAGGCGACTTCCAAACACACGGACATTTGTTACACACATATAGGAAACAACAGTCTGCCAAACAGACAAATGGCTCAAGTCGCAGCCTGTCCCCTTGCTGAATGTCCCCGTGTTAGCTGAAGGTCTCATTAGAAGGCAGACGGTATTCTACAAGCCAGTTTCTGCAAACTTACCGTCGATCATAGGCTACCAGATGTCCCACACTCTCGCTGTGTCACAGGGCTATTCTAGCTAGCATCCCAAGGGATGCTAGCTGTAGACATTTGCACCTTACTCATGATTGGTGGGATACTGAAATCAGTCTGTCCTTGAGTCCATGCATTTAGCCAAGGGAAAACTCTTGACACACATTATGGTGAGTAGCCATCTGGTAAGATAACAGCTGCGTTTGGGCCATAGGTTTTGGCAGCTGGTGAAGCCCTTGGTACTGGGCTGAGGGTCTGGGTGCGTGGGATGGCGCGGGATTGTCTCTCCGGCCTGGGCTCAAGTCTTCTAAACCGCCTTACAGCCGTGATCGCCGGATGTTTAATCTTGGTGTGGCAGGTCTGTGGCCCACTTGACACTGTCAGTGGTTATTTTGGCTCATCGGTGGTCATGGAGATGAGGCTGCGTCCTGGCTCTCACGGAAGAGCCTGGCCAGAGAAATGATTAGCGTAGTCCAGGACAGAATGTATTAGATTAGAACTTTGATCGGTGAAGAATTAGAGGCGAAGATTCTACAGTAGTTACCAATTAGCTATTAATTATTAATATTCCCAAAGCAGAGCATTTCTTTTAGAATTTCAGGTTAAAATGCTATGAAGAAGTCAAATAATTCTACTAAGTTCTTCTTGTCCGTTGCTTGCTTGGTTCTGGGGTTTGAACTCAAGGCCTCATGCTTGCTAGGCAGGCAGTCGATCACTGGACAGTACGTCCGGCCCTTCTCTTGAAAGCACCAAGAGATACACCATTGTAAAAAGTCACTTAATTAGAAATGTGATAGGAGCATCATGGTCCAGTGACAGACCCTCCAGAGCCCGAGCTTTGCTCGGCAGCACTGGCCTGTGTTCTCAGCCCCGGGCCTTCATCCCCAGGTGCTTCATACGTTTGGCAAAAGCTAAAACATCTAGTCATCGGTGTTCAAATACTCTTTTTAAATACCGTGTTGCATATTCGTCCAGGAGGAAGTGTGAATTCTTAACTATTTTAAGCTGAAAGTTGTTCTCAGAGCAGTGTGCCCACTCTCTGCCTCACACCCTCAGCCCTGCTCACGCGCCGTAGACTCTGCTGAAGAAGCAGTCCCAGCAGCTCTCCGAGGTGCGTCGGCCTGGATGGAAGTTATTTAGCTGATGGCTTGGTTTGTTCATTCCTTTTTTACTAGTCAGGTGTTTACTTTGCATCTGCCATGCCCAGGGTATCGGATACAGCTGGGGGCAGGGATTTAACCTGTTAACCAGTGCCCGCCTCAAGGAGCTTCAGCCGGAGGGACGCCAGCCTGTGGACAGGTGTCCACGAGTTCGCCAGGTGGGGAGAACTCACTGGAACAGGGCCGGGTTCAGTCAGCTATAGACACAACTGTAGTTTTAAAGGAAAAATGTTGACATCATCTAGCTTGTGATTAGGTTTTGTTTTTGTGAACAAAGTGAGCGTGTTATTTCTAACGGTCACTCTGAGGAGGCTTTGTAAAAGCTGGGGTAATTTGGGCAGATCCCAGAGGTTTGCTTTCAGAAGTATTATGTATATCTTTAAGATTCTTCCCATCGTCTTCAGATTCTGCATTCTGTGTTGTTCTTAAGGCATTTTTAAAAAAAATTTTGTCAGTCATGGGTCTTGAACTCTGTCCCTGAGCTCTTTAGCTCAAGGTGAGTGCTCTACCACCTGAGCCACAGCACCATTTCCGGTTTTCTGGTGGTTTATTGGAGATAAGAGTCTTATGGACTTTCCTGCCTGGGCTGGCTTTGAACCATGCTCCTCAGATCTCAGCCTCTTGAGTAGCTAGATAATAGGCGTGAGCCATCGGTGCCAGGCTGTTAAGTCATTATTACTCAGATTTGGGAGTCTGAGAATGATACCAGAATGTTCTTAGCCTGAGCCCATTTGCTTTGGAGGGTTTGCGGCGCCTCCTCCCTCTTCCAGGTTACCAATTTTCTCTTAGTCCCTGTCAAGAGGAGACAGTTATAAATTAATTTGCACACTACGAATTGCTAACTCCTCCCTGACTGTCCTGCATGTGTTTGTATTTTGATGACGCTGTTAAGCCAGACCAGTTTCTAGATGACATTTCAGGCCGTATAACAATTAGAAGAACTCTGGATCTGCAAGGTTCTTTTCTCTCTCCATGTCACTGTTTTGTGAACACTAAGTGTAGCACCTGGACAATGAAGTTAGAGTGGAAACAAGAAAGAGGAATTCAGGATTTATGGCTTTGATAGGTAGATGCTGGGGACTGAACTGTCTTGCGCCTGCCTCTCTCTCTCTCTCTCTCTCTCTCTCTCTCACTCTCACACACACACACACACACACACACTCCTGTGTCACAGCCCTAACCAGACTGAGATTTGGAGCATGGTCCTCTGAGGAAGACGTTGGGGCTGGAGGAGGTCCTGAGGTAGGGCGCTGGCGACAGGACCGGTGCTTTTATGAGGAAGAGACGTTCGCCTGCCTCCTGTGTCTCAGCGAGAAGGTGGCCACCAAAGGCTGGGAAGAGGGCCTCACCAGAACCCCACGTGGCCGCTCTGCCTCCAGGAGAGCGAAAACTCACTTCTGTTGCCCAGACCACCCAGCCTGACCGATTCAGGACATCCCTCCACAGGGTGTGTTGGAGGAGATGGCGGCTGCGAGGACTGGGCACTTGAATGGAACGTTCAAAGCAGATGGCCATTCGCCAGTTGGGGCCACCCATCCCCCAGCCGGTCCAGCAGGCGACCTGTGGTTGGGACATGACAGCATGTGACGTGCAGCCCGTCGGGCACAAACACGAATGAACAGGCAGCAGAGGTGGCGCAGCCAAAAGATGAGGGGTGGACGGTTGCCCAGGACCTGTAGCAAGAAATAGAACTGGGTGCCGGCTCGGCCTCGCGCTTTCCCAATACGTGGGGCGCACGGCTGCCCTCGGTCCTCTTGACATCCTCCAACACCAGGAAACTACTGACGTGGAGACGGTGAAGTGGCTGAGGTCATTAGGAAGCCATTACCTACCTTGCTTGGGGATGCTGGAGCGTGTGGGATCGTGAGTGTGTCCACGTCCACCTGCCCTGTTTTGGAAGGGTGCAAAGCCCTTCGTAGAAGGCCCCATGAACAACATGTGTACGGTGCCATTCCTAGAGTGTCTCCCCGACAGCGCACGTTATGATGCTGTTCCTAGCGCTTCTCTCAAGGGCCAGGCAAAAACCAGGGTGAGTGCCTGCTCTGCCGCTGCTGCCATAAATGTGTCTGTGAGTCGGTGCTGCGATGACTGCATCTAGAAGTCTCTTTCAGCGCCTGTTAGAATGAAAACGAAAGAGGGGAGCCCAGGATTCAAGTGGTTAAATTGTTGGAGATCGTTTCACTTAGGCAGACCTCTGGCTTGTATTCTGGTGCACTTTTACTTGCAGTAGACACACAATGAACAGTCACTGTGTAAGTGGACCTTAGCCATGGCAAACCAGTTCCTTCCATGGCGGCTAGGAGTTCTCAACATTCCAGAGCAGGTGCTGCGTTCGCGGCCCTCCTCAGCCTGCCAGGCTGGTCCTGCTCTCGTCCACAGCCTGGGTTTAGATGCCTGAGGGGAGCCTGGTTGGACCCTTGCCTGGGCTGGCGTGGGGGGAGGGGAGGCCGCAAGGACGGCCAAGGGGGTCAGCTTGCACCTGAGTCTCCATGCGGATCCGGCGTTCAGCTTAGACGTGGAGAACGTTGGCACACAGCTCAGGTTTTGCACACATAAAGTAGCGGTCAGCCAACGCAGAGCAAATTTTCCATGCATTGTTGTGCACTGTGTGGGATCTCTACGTATCCCGTCATCTGATGAAACCACGCTTCACGGAAGAGTGTCATAGTTTGTCCGTCTGTACAGCTACCTGTGGCTTAACGTAGACATTTGGTGAGCAACAAAATTATTTATCACTTGTAGATTGGAACCTGAAATTTGAACCGAATACTTTTTCCTAGAGAGCTTAACCCCAAAGCTGAGATTACTTTTTGCCTGTAATAATTGCCTGCTCTGCCAATCTGGGTTTTGTTCACTATTTTTAAATATAAGAGGTGGTATTTGAATAGTGCATGAGATGTAAATGTAGATTTCCCTGAGGGATCGAATAGACAGATGTGCTTCTATGCAACCTTGTAACCAAATGGGAAAATTGTTTCTTACAATTGAATTTCTTGAAATATATGAATGGAGAAAACAAAAATTTCTGAATAGATCGTAGAGAAGACAGTGTTTGTTTAGAGACGCTATGGTTTCCTGTTAACATTATACAAAGAAATAACTTAATTTTTGTTTTGCTTAAGTTGCATGGGTATTTAGTTCATGTAAGTTCCAACTAACCGCCAGTCCACTTGAATTTTTTAGATGTTAAAAATGGACCAGCAAGGCGTGATTTTCCAGACAACCCCTGTACAGGCTTTCAGAACCTTGTCAGACCTGAGGAGCCAAAGAAAAGTGAGAAAGGGAAGAAGGTCAGTGTGGGAAAGTACTTTTAAGCTTTCAGTTTCTATGCCTTAACGTTCTACTCTGGATTCATGAAACATAAACTCATTTGGGCAACTGATGTTAATTTTTTAAAATGGTTGTGGACAAATGTTGGTAACGTGTCACATAAACCTGGCCACGTTGGTCTCATTCAGGACCGAGTCAGACCTGGCCCTTTGCTGGTGCATCCTTGCCTGCTGGGAATGCCGGCAGCTTCTCCCCAGCAGGAGGGTCTCCAGCCGCACACTTGTCACCTTTCTATAACCTCAATAAAGGTTTGCTAGATGGGAGTCAGAATTTCATTTGTGAACTAATCAAGATTTGATGTAAAACTAACATAATCTCATTTATATGAGGTGTCCAGGAAATGAGATTAACCTCATCAACTCATACAACAGGAGGACAGGGTCTGGGCATAGTGCTTACGTGGAATCACAAAGCTCTGAGTTTGATTCCCCATCTCACACACACACACACACACACACACACACACACACACACACTCATACACACATATACACACATATACACACATATACACACATATTCTCATATAGACACACATACACACACATATACATACTCATACATACTCACATGTATGTACACATATTTGCATGCACACACACACACACACACCAGGATGATAAGGAAACCTGTACACATAGATTAGCAGCACTGAAAAGGGTAGCAGTTACAGGGGATTTGTTTTACAGCTGAGTGTTTTATAAGTGCAGATTTAGGTAATGATTTAGAGAGAAGGATGACTGTGTCTTATGCTTTTACAAGTGCATATTTCATAACTCATAATGGCAGGTCTCACCAGTGACAGCTTCCCAGTACTTAGAGCAGAGGCAATAATATTTTGTGAATGTGGCTCCCCAGTTTGGGGTAAATCTAGGCCTTCGGCTGTGTGCTTTGGACAGGGTGCTTGGCTCGAAGCACCGTCCTCCTGCGGCTGCTTTGATTTTTAATTTAACTTTCAACTTGAAATTGCAGTGACTCATCCAAATGGCAGGTGATATTTATTTATTTTTCCTTGAAAATTCAGCAGGAATGTTTGGTTATTAAGGATTTAGGGCAATGGCCCACTGTAAATGTCCCTGTAAACAACTTCCCATTGTTCTCCGCTCTGCAAACACGGAGACAGAACCTGTTGTGAGGGCCCTGTACCCGGCAGAGGGCTGGCCAAGATCACAGGTGCCTGTGGTGTCCAGCTCGGGTGGTCAGCTGTACCTGGATGGACCTCTCCTGCAAAGCGAACCTGCGCTGGCAGGGGGACAGGCCCCGCCGTGGAGGGAGGGCGTGCTCACTCACAGGTGTGGCTCATTGCACAGCTACATTGGGAAGCTACTTACAAACCACCTGCCTCTTGATGGGCCACAGCACTATGAGCGTGTTGTTTTTGTTTCTTATTATATAGGAGGGAGAAAAATATTTCTATACAAGGCAGGAGTGGAACCTTCAGTTCCCTCCGTGTTCCGTACAGAGTAGCTGGCCATTCGGAGACACCATCCAATGTGCCGGGGCAGCAGGTGGAGTGAGGTGGCAGGAGGAGGGTCCCTCCGGTACCCCGTGCAGCCAGGCAGGCTGGAGGCTCAGTGGGAGCCCGGCCCCTGTGGCACACAGAGAGAAGCCATTTGAGGAAGTCTGTCTTAATACCTGCCCGTTGGCAGAGAGGAGACGGTGCAGGCCCAGCCTGATGCTGCAGTGGCTCATTTCTGAGGCCTCGCGTTATCAATGCAGCGCTTGAAGGGGTCCGAGCTAAGCGCTAGTGAGCTTTGGTAACTTGCCTTAGAGGTGTGCGCAGAAAGCCAGACCTAAGAACTGTCTGCAGTGGCCCAGCTTCAGTGTCTACCAACAAGCAAAGCGCTCAGGCCTGTGCCTGCCCTCGAGTGAGGGGCGGCCAGTCCTGCTCACCGCTGCCCACGCCACACCAGCATCCCTCCAGGCCCAGACCTCCCCGTCCTGGCCCTGCTCTGCCCACCAGTGAGCGGGCGGGAAGGTGACCCTTTTCTGTCCAGTAGGATGCCAAGGGAAGTCTTACTGGGAGGTTTCTGGAAAAAGAATGTTCCCTCCCTGGACCCAGCCCTGGGAAGAAGTGGCCGCGTGTGCAGAGCCTGAGGCCGAGGCCAAGAGAGAGGCACAGGAAGGGAGGGAGCGGATGCGGGGGGTGGGATTTCCACTCCCACCGACTCTGAGGTGTTTGCAGGGGACACGGGACGTTTGCTCAGTTGCTCCATTACCCCCTATCCCCGTGCCTCCAGAAAGATCCAGCACACACAGGCGCGCATGCGGACTTCTTCCGCTTTGCCAGAGCCTCGTTCCTCGACTCTTCCTAAAGCTTCTTTTATGTTTTACTCGTATTAAAAATGTCCCTGCTTTGTGAATATTCAGGGAGATAAATTCTTATTACTTTTGATTATTTTTGAAGGAAAGAAATAACAACAGGATTACTCATGAGGAAGAGGCTAGAATGACAGAAAAAGAACTGCAGTTTTAAATCATGGAGGCATTATTACAAAATTTGTTAAAAAGTAAAATATGAGGTGTCGCCAATACGCTTTTGGCATGTGCGTCTGTGGTTTTTGGCTGTGAGTTTGGGTTTAGTTCACACAGAAGAGAGGACTGTGGGAAAGACCAACAGTGTGAGCAGCTGGATAGGAGCTCGGCTTTACCTTCGCCGTAGGCTTGTGGGTCTCTGTGCACATGGAACGGCCTTTCATTTTCCTGCAGAATCTCCTTTTGTTCCTCATTTTAAAACACCTGTACCACATATGTATAGTCTGATTGGGTCCTTTGAGGAGACGCCCAGCTCTGTCTCAGGAGCAGCTACGTTCTCCTCCTCCTCCTTCAGGTCAACTAAGAGGTGGGGGCAGGCAGCCTCAGAGCCTAGGGTGTGGCTGAGTCCTTGAGGATGGTCCAGACGGAGGTCTGTGTCTATCTCAAAATGACAGAACCGGCCAGAAGTCCCCGCAGATTTAAAAATCAGGATGGTACCGAGAGCCATTGCAGAAGTGCTGTCTGCCCTGTGCCAGAACTGAAGCCATCTGAGCGGGATTGGTGCTGGAGCCTGACCATGAGTTTCCATGTGTCTTTTCCCCTCTGTCGCTTGAGCCACGCCTCCAGGCTGGAGCAGGAGTTTTAAAGGACACGCCACCACCCACGTGTCAGGCCAGAGCCGACCACGCGAGCCTCCGCTTCCCCCATCCGCGTGGTGCAGCTCCTCTTTCCTGGCCGTGGTTCTTCATGGGCTTACGGACTGTTTTATTTAGTGTGCATAATTTGTCGCTACCACTTCTTTGGAGGAAAGGCAGCCATGAGTTGTCCCAGATTTAGCCAGGGAGAGCTTCGTGGAGATGTCTTCCCACGCTCTCTGTTCTCCATCCCTTTCCACAAGTGGCCAGGCGCCCTGTTTACTAGAATGGGTACAAGCTCTGTGTTCTCCCCACTGGGGCCAGGGGATGGGTGTGAAATTCACTACAGATGGTAGGCTCCAGTCAGGACATCTCAGTAAGCAAGGTGCTTATCAACACAACGTGTATTGGTGCTTGATTCACCACGACTGTTGTGCTGTCTGAAAGCGTTTGGCAATAACTTCAATATTAAGAGCTTCTGGAATTCTAACACAAACCTGTCATATAAGGAAAGCCATTGGAGTTACGGAGCTGTTCATAGGCCCAGTTTTCTACTATGAGCCCAGCTGTAAAGCATGGAATTCCTCCTATTAAACGAGGAGCTACTCCGAGCACGTGGGGAGCCGGGGGGAGCTGCTTGCTTAGAGCAGCAGCCCCAGCCCTGGGCTCAGCTCTTCAGCTCACACCTGCAGTTTGGGATGTGTGGTGGTATGGCTCAGAACAGGGCCCCAGGACGTGGGTAGGGTATATGTGAACTTTTCTAAATATTCCCAGACGCGGCAGTAATAATTACCACTGCGCATGACCTTCCTGAGAACATAGCTTCTGAGCTATTTGATTTGCTCTTTAAAAAAAAAAATCTTCCCCGTGATCAAAATTCACCTAATTCTGTGATTCTGATAGTATCCATCCATTCACACAGCCAAACAAGATCTGTAATCTCCCCAAATTTGGGTATGTCCTATTTCACTTGTGTTTGTTTTTTTTTTTTTTTAAGTAAAAGCATTTCACTGTTTACCTTAAACTAGCTCTAACCCAAAGAGATTTCAGAGACTGTTTTATTTTTTATCAACATTGCTTTTTATCATTAATAAAACAGACGTGTTTGTTTAATTTGCCTTACCTTTGATCTTACTAAAAACAAAATCAACAACACCATTTCCCAGTTGTCACATTCGTCCTTTTCCTCACTCCTCCCCTTTCCTCTTAGACTGCTGTCCACTCCTTCTTTAGTACTTAAAAAAAAAAAAAAATGCCTTCACTGAACTAGCTCTCAGCACCGTGCATTACTGGTGTCTCCCGGGCTGGGTCATTTGATGGTGCACTGACAGTGTGTGACAAGTCTTCAGCTAGCTGGATGGTTTGTCTAAGACAATTTTACCATACAGTTTTGTTCCTGAGACTGTCACACTTTTATCTGAACGTGTCAGTATATGTTGTATGCTTTTGTGTCTTGTGTTTTGGGGTTTTTTTGATGGTGCTGGCGTTTGAACTCAGGGCCTCTTGCTTGCTAGCCAGGTGCTCTCCCACTGAGCCACACCCCAGTTCTCTCCTTTGGTTTAGTGAACACAAATAAACCTGTGAATACCTGTAATCACTGGGAGTCCTTGGGTGTGTCTCCCAAGTCCTGTCAGAGCTGTCCCTCCATTTTGTGGTCCCTTATTAGCTCCCCCAGACAGTGTAGTAACAAGTTGCTTTGAGGCTCAAAACAGATACTCAAAAAATCTGAGCCTCTGTTTCTTTCTACAAAGTCTCTGTAAGCCATCCATCTCTTCATAGAGATCACTGGATAGCAAGACCCATAAACCAAAAGAAGCTGGCCTAGGTTCTGCGAACATTGGTTTCACCCATCTTTTAGCTGAGAAAGTAATAAACAAAAGGTTACTGAATTCTGAGCACGCAGAAGAGGCTAAAAGCAGAGCATCATCAACTAGAATCACCAGGCAAAATAAAATATTTTTGCCATTAAATATTCACTTAAGCTTTTCATCCAGACTTTTGAAAGCTTCTGTGCCAGTCCAAAATGCACCTTATTGTTTCTGAAACATGTGGAATTCCTTGCGTTGAAACACCCACAAACAAGCAATTCTCTTGAGGTTAAAGTATCTTGTTTAACCCCAGCAAGTCTGTTTTGGGGGACAGTTTCCCGTCTGTCTAGAAAAGGAGAGGTTCCAAGATGGAGGCCTTCTAGACTCCTTGGATCTGATGAATCTGTCATTCCATGTCTTCTTGTACCATCACCTGCCTCCTGCGCCTAACCCAGTTGGTGTCTGAGCCATCAAACATCTAAAGCATGCAGCTGGGTCCAGCTCAGATAATTACTGGACGTAATCCAATCCTGGATCCCATCCAGTGCAAACATTGCTCCAATAAACTCGAGAGAGTTCAACATGCAGGTTTGTGAAGCTTGAAGCTACTAACTAACCCGGGAGCCCGAGGACTGGAGAGGCCAGCAGGCACTGCGGGTGCCGGCAAGTACTTGGACTCGGTCACACCACAAGCCTGGGTTTCACCGTGGGATCCCATTTGCTCTGGGTCTCGTTTCTGACACAAAACCGTCAAAGCTTTGTACAAACCAACTGTAACCGATTGTAGTGGAGGAAAGAGCAAGCTGTAAGTTGGAAAGCCCTCCCAACCAGAAGAGGTTCTCAGCATGTTGCTCTGCAGCCCAGGCAGGCATCACATACGGGGAGAAATCGGAGGGACTGCCTCCAGCCCTGCACGCATGTGTCTTCTGTGAAGAAGGTCTGATGCACCGGCCCCCTGCAGATGACTGAAGCCCAGCCGCTGTGCTTGGCTGGAGCTCAGCTATTTCTTCCAAAAGCTTTGCCCCAGGTTAGGCCTCCCGTGCATGTGTGCACTGAGGTTGCAGTTTCTTATGTAAGGACTCAAGGACGCGGGCATCCACAGGCCAAACTGCATCTAACTGAACAGTAGCAAAAATCAGGTAATCGGTCGGGTCCTCTCTTGTGAATTTCCCTTGGATATGTTGCCCATGTCGATGTTACCTCATCACAGAACGTAAAAGAAGCTCTTTCTACTTTTTTGACTGCTCAAATAGCTAAAGAATGTTCAAGTGTCTGGTGTCTGTTTCGGTTCCATTTACTATAGGCCTAGAAGTAGAATTGTGGGTTCAACATGCACATCTAACTTTTGGTTTGAGGCTACAAACAATGTCTACCAATTGCGGCTGCATTTTTCCGCTCCCTACCACAAACCTGTGAGGCTTCCAATGTCTCCGCGCCTAGTCCACACTTGTTACAGTCTGTCCTGTTCTGCTTTAAACGGCCAACCTAGCTGTCAGCCTAGCATTATCCTATTGAGGCTTTCATTTGAATTCCTCTAGCATGTTTCTGTGCTATTTTCTTTAAGGTATTTGTTCAGGTGGTTAGCTTACTTTTTAATTTGCGGATTGAGTGCTTTTTTGTTGTAAGAGTTTCTTTCTACATATTCTGTATATTAAACCTATATCAGAAGTACCATTGGGTACTTCTCCTGTTCTATGGGTTATCTTTTGATTTTCCTAAGGGTATTCCCTGATGTAAAAAAATACTTCATTTCAAAGAAGTCTACTTTATCGACTTCACCTGTACCTACTTTTGCTGTTGTATTCGGGAACCATTGCCAGACTTGCCTTCATGCTTCCCTACTTTTTCCCTATGAATTTTATAGATTTACCCAGGAACGTAGGTATTTGTTCTGTTCTGGGTTCATGTGTATATATAGTACAAGACAACAGCTTTCCCAGAGCCCCACTGGAAACATCATTCTCTCCCTGCTCTGTAGTTGGTCTCGGGGAAGTCAGGCACCAGAGGTGCAGCTGGATACCGTGTATCTGCATGTGTTTACTAGACAGTTCTGATTATGTAACTTTTGTAGAAAGTTCTAATGTTGAGAATTGTGGATCCTCTAGCTTCTTTGTTTTTCTAGATTGTTTTAGCTACTTGGCATCCCATAAAATTCCACATAAACTTTAGAATGGATTTTTCCATTCCTCAACATCAAAAGACAAACTCTGGGGTTTTGATTGCACTGAGTGTAGATTGGTTGAGATAGTGTTAATACCTTCAACAATATTATGACTTTCCATCATTCCATCCATGAACACGGATGGCTTTTTATTTAAGTCATTTCCCAATCTGTTTCAGCGCCATTTAAAAATTTTCAATGTACAATTCGTGTACTCCCTTGATAAATGTATACTTTAGTTTTTATTCTTTTTTTGTGCTATTATAAATGTAATTATTTTGTTACTTTCCTTCTAAGATGATTCCTATTCATAGACATATAAACCAATTTTTTCAGTTAATTTTATATCTTGCAAATGTGTTGAGTTTATTAGTTCTCATGGTTTTGTTATGAATTCTTTAGGGTTTTCTACACATAAAACCATCTCATCTGTTGATGGATGGAGAGCTTTACTACTTCTTTTCCAAATTGCAACTGCCTTATTTCTTTTTTGGGCCTAATTATTTGGCTGATACGGTGGTTTCATTTGGGACATGTCAAACTTGAGGCCTCATTACACCTCCCAGTGAAAATGCAGAGGAGATGGCTATTGGAGCGAGGCTATCAGGTGTAGGTCTCGGCTAAATACACAGAGGCGGGAGTTGTCAGCCAGGTGCTGACACGTTTAACACTAGTCGGCCACCATACAGGGGTGAGCACAGGAAAGAAGAGCAGTGATGGAGGGCAGAGGCCTGGAGTAGGAGCCCGACGTTGCAGACCTCCAGTGGTAGTGAGGCCAGCTTCCTTTTCCCTTGCCCCTGCTCCCCAAGGCCCTTGCATGAGCTTCTTTTCCTGCACACAGAGCCCCTGGGTTTCTAAGTGTAGGTCCACTACCCAGCCTCTGCCCTGGGCCATGCAGCCCTCACCCAAGGAGGCCTGCTCTTTGGTAACGGAGACTCGCACCTACGGGCCTTGTCTCTGGGCTCAATTCAGGGAGCCGTCCTGCAGCCATTCCATGTGTGGGGTCAGACACAGGAGAGAGCTAGCCAGACCGAACAACATCAGGGAAAACACTGTCTGTTGGTCTGTCCGACATCCCTCACAGCGCTTCCTTTGATCATCTTTTTGACTCTTCACCCTCCTTCCTCTGCCTTACCCAAATACATAGTACATGGCGCATATATAGTGCACACACACTGCACACAGGCCTCTCCCGTCTTTCTTGTCAGTCTGTAGTCCATGTGCTTTTCCCCATTCACTGTATGTGGGCCGTTCAAGGCAGGAGTGAGTGTGCAGGCTGAGGAGGAAGAGGGAGGGGCAGGGAAGGAGAGGAGACTGGCGAGGAAAGAAGGAAGTGGGGGAGAGAGAAAATGTCTTTTGTTTAAGAAAACGTTCAGTTCTGAGTAAGGGCAAATTCCAACTCAATAAATTTTTTGTCTCCCTACAGGGGGTGGGGGTATTTCCTTGACAGTGGGTATTATATCCACGCATTAGATATATCTGGAATGATGGCTGTTCATAGGCGTGGGGAGAATCACCAAGTCTGTAAAGCCAGTCTCACCTCCTAGCTTTAAATTCCACGTGCTAACACATTTGGATTATTCTGGCTTCCTGGCATAACACAGTTCTCTGTGTTTTTTGTAGGGGGTTTTCCCCCTCTTCTACCTATGTCTGGATGATGTTGGACTAGTTTTAGAAAAGTATCTAAATTTTTGTATCCTAGGCTGTTTTTTTCTCCAGGAATACAGTTTTTTTTATCTTTGATATTTGCCTATATGTTAGTACTTAAGAGATGCAACTTTTTTTTAAAAAAGAAACTCATTAAAGTTTATTTCTGTGGGAAAATTTTTTTTATGTTTTTGACTGTTTTTTGTCCCTTCTCTTTTGACATCTTTAGCCAACAAGAACATTAGTCATGACAAGCATGCCATCTGAGTAAGTACTTGTTTTGATAACTTCCTATTTAATGTACAGTGTAGACTTTTCTCATATAGTTTGTAATTCTGTGTGCTTTAGGCAGTTCACAGATCTATACTGTATTACTTTCCCTTGATATAATTAATGCCAGACTGAGAAGGTTATTGAAAAATTTAAAGTGTGGTTAAATGTGAACAGCTTAGTGCTAAAAAGCTTAGCGGGTTTATTTAGACAGCCTGTACTATTCTTGCTATTCCTTTTGCTTTCTTAATTACCAATGGCTTTGTTTATTCACCCCTCACCTCATGGATGTTCAATAAACAGAGCAATGCCAGCCAGACATTTTCCTTAATGATCTTAAAGGAACCCCGTGGTGGAAAGAATTCTGTCCCCAGCACGCTGAAGCAGCTATCTGCCATCTCGTGAAAGAGTTAATGACTTGCTGGCAGGCTCTTATCGTCTTCCTTAAACATTTAGCACAACAGAGAACATCCAACAAAAATACCATCCTATAATCTCTGCAGCAGATTTTTAGATTCCTATTTAACAGGGAAAAACCACACTTGTTTAGATCAGTCACAGGTTTTGAGGTTTTAAGACGTTCGCAGAATGCTGGGCCACTGCCGTGCAAATACGCTTGGGGAGGAGTACACGCTGCAGTTCCTTGTGCGCAGACTCTGCCCTGTCCTGCCCGGCGTGGAAACAAGCGCCCAGTCTCCCAACGCCGCAGTTACGTGGTTGAAAAGGCGTCTGTGTGTACCTTTCATAAGTGTGTTATGGAGTATTTGTGACATGGTAAATTGTCTAATCTAAAAATGATTGTTGAATATCAGTATCTTTAATGTTCCCTATTTTTAATCCCAAACGTTAATAACTAGGGATATTTTTCCTCATTAAAGGCTTTAAAACAGAAGCTTTTCATTCTGTCCACACTGTAGTCTTACTCTTTTTTTGTGGGTGGTGGTTGTGGCATCAGTATAACTATGTAGCCAGGCTCCCGCCTGGATGAAGCAGTATCTTTTTAAAAGACAGCCACTATCACTTACGCTTTCCACACTCTGCTGTGGCACCCGGGGCTTAGAGCAGGGAAAGTTAGATGTCCAGACGTGGAGAGCTCTTGGACTCTTAGTCTAGAGGTTTCTACTTCTTTGAGGTTTTATTCCTTAGAGGTTTCCTTCCTTAGTTTACAGGGATTTTTAGCCTTTGTTACAGCTTTGCCTTCTGTTGTCTTTTTCCCCTGTATTGAGCATCCCTCGTGGCCCTGCTCGGCACAGCCTCTCCGATAACTAGACCAGAGCGCCACCCCTCACCGAGCATTCAAGCCAGCATGGCGGCTGTGCCACAGCTGTGCCCCTTCTCACCGGTGGAGACGGGCACGTGCACCCTGGCGAGAGGGAAAACCAGGGCGCGTCGGGAGGTGGGCGGACGGGCAGGAGACGGTGTGTGCGGGCGGGGGGGGGGGGCGCTTGCTTCCCCGTGACACCACCCTGGAGGGGACGCAGGCTGCGTCAGCTCCCTGGCTCAGGCAGCCGGCAGCCTTTGTGTGCCCACTCCCTGTGCCCCCAGACCTCGCTCTGAGGGACGAGCCTTCCGCCACAAAGGCATACTGCCAGTCGTGTGGCAAGGAGTTAGATAGAAAGGGTTTTATTAACACACATGCATGCGCATACACACATAGAGAGATAAATGGAAAATACACAGGTGAATAGTGTTTTAAGAGAATGACAGACCAGAAGTAAATAGTAACAAGCTGTGTGAAATTAAGGAGCCTCTCTCAACAATTGCCCTAAGATTTGATGATGTGGTGTGTGCACATGCACGTACACATGCCAGTACTGAGGCCTGAACTCAGGCCCTTGTATTCACTTGGCTTTTTTTGCTTATGTCTGGCACTCTACCACTGAACCATTCTTCTGGCTTTTTGCTCGTGACTTAAAGGTAAGAGTCTGTAGAGTTTTCTGTCTGGGCTGGGATCAAACCATGACTCTCAGATCTCAGCCTTTAAATAACATAAACCACAGATGCCTGCTGCCAAAGGCTCTTTGTTTTTTTCTTAGTAGGTAAACATGTTTGACACTAAAGCAAAGTCATTTTAAAACAAATAAGAACTTTGGTCCTGACCACCACACATTGGTCAAATACTCCTAGGAAATAAATAATTGGTGTGGAAGACGGAGCCCTGAGCAGGTGTCCCGGCTCGGGTTTCGGGGGCTCGCTTTATCCCTGCCCAGGGAAGACGGGGGAGCCACACACAGCTTGCTCAGCCATTACAAAGGACAGAATTGGGAGCTGCACAGGTCTCATTTTCCCGAATAAGGAATTAAGAAAGTTGTAAAGAAAGTAAGGCGTGAGTGCTATGACCAAAATCCGTTCCCGAGCCCAGCCTTCTAGATTTTTATTGTGGCTCAACGTGGCCACCGGTGTGTTGGTTTATTGTGGCTCAACGTGGCCACCGGTGTGTCGGTTTTGTTGACGCTCTCCCTGTTTGGCAGGAAGCAGAACGTCGTCATCCAAGTGGTGAAGAAACTGCACGGCTTCTCGTTTTCCCCCGAGGTCTGCGAGACCACCACCCACGTGCTGGCCGGGAGGCCGCTCCGCACCCTGAACGTGCTGCTCGGCATGGCCCGAGGCTGCTGGGTCCTGTCCTACGAATGGGTAAGCCTGTGCCGGGGGCTCGGTCGGCGTGGCGGTCCCAGCGCTGGCTCTCGGAGTCAGAGCGGGTGTGCCATGGGCGCCCTGTGTCTTGCCTTCCCTTGGTCAGCCTGGGCCTCACTTGGGGAGAGAGCCAGGGAGCCCCCTCCACAGAATCCCCCCGCCAGCAGAAATCAGGTCAGAACGGACTTGGACCAAAAATACCACGTGTGTTTCTCACACTCAAAGGAGTGTTGCTCTCTGTTTGACCAAGAAATAATGTGACCCATGCTAGCGATGGTTTGAAAAGCCAGAAGAATTCAGTGCTTGTTTTTCCAGCTGGATTTACTTAGGATGGAAACATGTTCATTTAATCCCACTTGGAAATGTTTCATCTTGCGCACGTCCATACGTATATTATCTGCCCTATTTCTGTGCCTACAGGGTACTGTTTTAAATATATATCATCACTTCCCTAAATCATAAAAATCGAAGTGGTCTGCTCTCCATTCTGTTTCTACTTCGGTCCTCAGGCTGTAGTCCTCTGCAGCCTGGTTGTCTGATGAAGGACCATCAGTTACATGTGTTACAGGTAGCGCTCACCCTCCTCCTGTTCCTTCCCCAGGAATATGCTGTATTAATCCCTGTTCATTTAAGCGGTAGAATTACCCTGTAAAAGCAAACTCAGATGTATGTTAAGAATGGCTCTCTTCTTTCTCCTCTCTCTAGCTTTGTGTTAGAGAGGGTTTAAGAAATAAATGTAGGCTCAAAGTCACAGACTATGAAAGGTTGTACTAAAAAGAAAATACTTACTGGTAGCAGTTGGCTTACTTTATCTGCTTATGAACTAACAATGATACTGTGTCATCTGTGTGAAATATAGCTTACAATTCAGCTTCTGTGGATAAATTCCATTTTCTTTCCAATTCCGAATATCTGTGTGTCTTCATCAGCCATCCCTTCCCTCCCTCAGGTTTCAGAAGAGAAATATTTTATCTTTTTGCTAAAGATCTGTATCTGTACTTGGTTCTGTACCAGCGTGTTCCTCTGGGACTGGAGGCCATCCGGGAAGAGTCGATAAGAGAGTGCAGCAGTCCCTGCTGACTCACATTCAGACTCCCAGCCCAGGTGCCCGGACATCTCTGATGGAAACCTCTGGACCCAGGCCTAGGCTGCGAGGGTTGGCTGATTCAGAGAAAGGCGGGAGACACTGTTCAGCACACTTGCAATGCTTAGTTCGGGAAGATGACCCCGGGGTGCTCTATCGCACCGTGAGTGCATGCAGCACAGATGCAGCCCAGCAAGGAAAATAGTTAAAGGCACTTGAGTCAGACAGGAAGAAATCAGGCAACACAATTGTGTAGACAGATGCAAGAAATCTAATAACAAGCTAACCCTGAAATACGTAAATATAAGCTTAGTAAGCACATGTGGATCTGTCTGTTAAAAACCGGTAAGATTCTGATTTTAAAGAATTCAAAAACTACAAGAAGGGAGAGAAGGAAAGACACTATATGTGGATTGAAGGGTTCACCATAGTTCCAGTGTCACACCTCCCCCAAATGATCTATAGATTTGACCTGTTCCCAGACATCATCCCAGCAGAGTCTCAGAGATTCTAGAATTTATCTGGAGAAGCCTAAGATCTGGTCAGGGGAGGTGGTTTTGGAGGCAGGAGCAGATCTGGTCAAGGAAGGTGGTTTTGAAGGCAGGAGCCCAGTCGGAGGAGCGGCCCCAGCTCGCGCTAACGCATCCTCGGAGAGTCCAGGATGCCCACAGCACACGGCCTGGTGTTGGTGATGGGGCTGGAGGGCATCCCCGGGGTGAGGCCTGGTCCCTCCGGGGTGCGGTGCTGAGTAGGATCCTGGGTGCCTCACACGGAGCTCAGAGCCCCCTCCACATGGGTCACTAGGCAACTTTGGGGTGGAGAGCTCATAGAGATAAATGGGAGAAAAACCACCATGAACTTGGTACAGGTTAGAGTTCTTTACTATGCAGCAAAAGCAGGTTCTATAAGAGAAAAGATTGGTAATTTGGGCTTCATCAAAATTGAACATTTTACTTTAAAAGTAAATGTGAGAAACATTATGAAAAATATTACTGTCAGATATTTGTACTACTAACATTTGCAAATCTCGTGGCTGAAAAATTAAAAAAAAACAAAAAACAAAAAAACGGCACCAGTGGCTCACGCCTGTGATCCTAGCTACTCAGGAGGCTCAGATCTGAAGCTCACAGTTCAAAGCCAGCCTGGGCAGGAAAGTCTATGAGATTCTTATCTCCAGTAAACTACTCAGAAAAAGCCAGAGGTGGCCCTGTGGCTCAAGTGGTAGAGCACTCACCTTGAACACCAAGAGACTCAGCACCTAGGCCCAGAGTTTAAGCCCCAGGATCCCAGGATTGACAATAAATAAATAAATAAAATGGCCAGCCCAAGCCAGGCAGTAGTGACTCTCATCTCTAATCCTAGCTATTCACAAGTCTGAGATCTAAAGATCTCCGTTCAAAGCCAGCCCAGTCAGGAAACTGAGATTTATGTCTCCAGTTAACCAGCAAAGCAAGCCAGAGTGGAGCTGTGGTTCAGGTGGTAGCAGTAAAGCTAAGTGAAAGTGCTTACGCTCTGAATTTAAGCCCCACTACCAGTACACATGCACACACAAAGTAGCTAACCATCCCTCCCCCCAAAAAAACAATTTGTTTGAACAAATATTTACCAAAAATGTACAGATGGTAAATGAGGGCATGAAAACAGGTGCAGCATACTGAGGCACCCAAGAAAAGGCACTGAGAAGCCACAGGAGGAAGCTGCCTACCTAGTAGAACTGCTGAAGTAAAAGAGCAAGAAACCCTGGCAAGGCTGTGTGCCACCGGTGGGAGTGGAAATTTCCATAGACACCCCATAAAGCAGAGCTGCAGTTTTATAGAATGTCAGATATCTACTTTGTCTCACTCAACAGTTCCCCCCTACCTCGCCCCCAGGTACTTACCACCCTACAGAAATCAGAGCTTGGGGTCCAGGCAGAAATCTGCACATGGCTGTTTACGGCAGTTTTACTTAGGATGTCCCTGGGTGGTGAGCAGAAGTCCCAGAAATGGAAGAGAGTCCTAGCAGGAATGAAAGGGAAGCAAAGCTGGGCTAGTCCATTACCTTTGCGGTGCGGAGCAAACCATCTGAGGGGTCAGATACTGTCTGACCCCATCTCTGGGCTGCTCCGGAAAAGGCAAAACTGTCAGCAGGACGGACACAAGGAGCCGGGAGCTGAGACAGGTCTGGATGCCAGCAGCAGCCCCTGGGGTGTGTGAGGGGTAGGAACTCGTGTGTGTTTTCCCTGCCAGCACCGAGGACCCCATGCATGTGTGCACACACATGTGTAATGAACCAGTAAATTGTACTGCCTGTGAGTTTTCTCTAGAATGTTCATCCAAGAGGGCTCCTTACTTACTCAGAACCTGCCCTTGGATGTCTTCCACTTGGCATATTACCAGCCCTCAGCTGGGTACCTTCTCCGTTCACCTTTCCATCCTGTTGGCCTTATTGGGAACTGGAGAGTGCCCCATCCCGCATCAGCAGGCCGCCTCTGCACGACCTTGATCGTGCTCACAGCCGAGCGTGACTGGCCCTCGAGCACCACCCCTGCGTGAGCAGAGCACCTCTGGAGAAGTGCTTGACTCAGTCCTGCCCCTCATCCTGTCTCCCAGAACTGAGTCATTCCAGTGCTGAACCCAGACACCAAAATACTCTGCCCAAAAGGACCTGTGTAAATACCCCAAAGGTTAAGCACGTGGACAACATCATACCCACGAGCGGCAATCGCTTGAGGACTTGAACTGCCAGGCCCTTATTCAAATCACCGGGATGAAGTCGTCACTTCCAGATGGTTTCTTTCCACCAGGTACTGTTGAAACAAACCATTTTCCAAATGGTGGCCTGAGCTTAACTAAGGACCGACTCTGTTTTTCTGGGTCAGTTCTCTCAGAGACCTGGTCACGGCCATTGGGATGAAGCAGCGTCCCTGCAGGGCCTGGCTGCCTGGCTGGCTTCTCCTCCCGTGCCGGTGTGTCCCCCGTTCTTCCTATGGGTGCTGCTCGGCCAGGCCTGCCCCCTTCCCGCCGGGGAATACAGACTCCGGGCGCCCTTCCTCCCGTGCCTGCGCACCTTTGCCACCAGTGGCAGACGCGTCGGTGCTGTGGACACGGCGCACAGTGAGTGCCTGGAGTTGAGATCTGCCTGGTGTCGATGTGCGCCCTGGGGCCGCTCCCCAGCCCTGAGAGCACACGTGGGTCCGTGTGCACTGGTTACTGCTGACTTGCACCCTCCAGTGAACTAAATCTCTGCTGTCACAATGAGACAAATGGAGCTGCTGCTCCCTTCCAATTCTAAAAGAAATTCAGTAGGAGAAACCAAACTTTTCTCTAGGAGAAAACCACTGCTGCACCACCTAGACAGTCACTCCACGTAATTACCAAAATTGAGTAGCCAATTTAATCCGTAAGTAGTATAAAATGATAGATGACCTTCCCAGGTTGTAATTTTCTATAGGGTCAAGGTGTGGAGAGGTCACAGTCTATACGTTGATGGTGTTGTACAAGAAGTCCCTCTCCCCAGCCTGCCCTCTTCCAGCCTGTTTCCAGTGCCGTTGGGGGAGTCTTAAAATATTCTCTTTGGCTTACATTAGAAACTGGTCTCCAAGGAAAACATTACTGAGAGTGTTTTCATTTCAGGGTTTGTGTAGTGTTTTCTGGAAATTTCTGTGAAGGATCATTGTAGCGGTTCTTCAAAATCAGATGGTTGTCTGTGGGCAGTTAGTCATAGAAAAAAATCACGGCGATTCTGTAACAAAAGTCAGTTTAAATTTTTCCTTAAAGTTTTTTGTTTCTGTTGTTTTGCGGCTTGCTGGTGATTCTGCATGCTCATAGCAGTTTGTTCTTCCAGCGCAAACTCTTATTTTCAGGAAAGACAATAATTCATGTTTTTCCTGCTTCATGACTAAATTGTCTGGCAGATACCTAGAAAAGAAAATCAT